TCATGTATGAGTTCAATAATCTTGCAAGGGATGTATTAAACTACAAACAATCATTTCAAATTACTGCTTAAGTGGGTTAATTAACTATTTTGCAATATTGCAACTGTTCATAAAAAATAGATATCTGTTATTTTTAGCTCACCTGAGCCAAAGGCTCAAGTGAGCTTTTCTGATGGAAATTTGTCTGCTGTCTGTTATGTCGTCGTTGTTGTAAACTTTTAACATTTTCATTTTCTTCTCAAGAACCACTGGGCCAATTTCAACCAAACTTGCCACAAAGTATCCTTGGGAAAAGGGAATTCAAGTTTGTTCAATTGAAGGGCCAAGCCTTCTTCCAAGGGGAGAAAATTATGATTTCGTGAAAAATTAATGACATCATTTTAAAAATCTTCTCAAGAACCACTGTGATTCATATTGAAAATATGAAACTTATGTGGAATCTTTGTGAGGTAGTGTAGATTCAAATTTGTACAAATCATGACCCCCAGTGCTAGGGAGGGGCCACAATGGGGGATCAAAGTTTTACATCGGCATACATAAGAAAAATCTTTTAAAATCTTCTCAAGAACAGCAAAGCCATGATTGGTCATATTTCTATGGAAGCATCCTTTGACTGGTAATGTTGATTCAATTTTGTTCAAATCATGACCCCCGGGGGTAGGGTGTTTTAGGATGTAAAGTTTTACATAGGAATACATAAGAAAAATCTTTAAAAATCTTCTTCTCAAAAACAGCAAAGCCTTGATTGGTCATATTTATATGGAAGAATCCTTAGATAGTAAAGATTCAAGTTTGTTCAAATCATGACCCTCGGGGTAGGGTGGGGCCACAATGGGTGATCAAAGGTTTACATAGGAATACATAGGAAAATCTTTAAAAATCTTCTTCTCAAGAACAGCAAAGCTGTGATTGGTCATATTTATTTGGAAGCATCTTCAGGTAGTGTAGATTCAAGTTTGTTCAAATCATGACCCCCAGGGAGGGTGGGGCCACAATGGGTGATCAAAGTTTTACATAGGAATAAATAGGAAAAATCTTCTTCTCGAGAACACCAAAGCTGTGATTATATTGCTATGGAAGCATCCTCAGGTACTGTAGATTCATTTTGTTCAAACCATGTCCCTGGGGGTAGGGTTGGGCCACAATGGGTGATCAAAGTTTTACATAGGAATACATAGGAAAAATCTTTAAAATTCTTCACAAGAACAGCAAAGCCATGATTGGTCATAATAATATAAAAGCATCCTCAGGTAATGCAGATTTAATTTTTAGCTCACCTCGACGAAGTCGAGATGAGCTTATGCTATACCCCCGGCGTTGGCGTCGTCGTCGGCGTTAGCGTCGGTGTCCCGGTTAAAGTTTTAGGAGCAAGTCCCATTCCCAAGTTACTATAAGCCCTACCTGGACCAAACTTGCATGGATGATGCATCTAGAATGGACACTGCCACACTTGCTTCGGATGCTGGATCTGACCTAGATTTTCCAGATGAGTGACCAGGTTAAAGTTTTTGGAGCAGGTCCATTCCCAAGGAACTATACGCCCCACCTGAACCAAACTTGTATGGATGATGCATCTAGGGATGGACACTACCACACTTGCTTCGGATGCTGGATCTGACCTAGATTTTCCAGATGAGTGACCAGGTTAAAGTTTTTGGAGCAGATCCATTCCCAAGTAACTATAAGCCCTACCTGGACCAAACTTGCATGGATGATGCATCTAGGGATGGACACTACCACACTTGCTTCGGATGCTGGATCTGACCTAGATTTTCCAGATGAGTGACCAGGTTAAAGTTTTTGGAGCAGGTCCATTCCCAAGTAACTATACGCCCTACCTGGACCAAACTTGCATGGATGATGCATCTAGGGATGAACACTACACACTTGCTTCGGATGCTGAATCTGACCTAGATTTTCCAGATGAGTGACCAGGTTAAAGTTTTTGGAGCAGATCCATTCCCAAGTAACTATAAGCCCTACCTGGACCAAACTTGCATGGATGATGCATCTAGGGATGGACACTACCACACTTGCTTCGGATGCTGAATCTAATCTAGATTTTCCAGATGAGTGACCAGGTTAAAGTTTTTGGAGCAGGTCCATTCCCAAGTAACTATAGGCCCTACCTGAACCAAATTTGCATGGATGATGCATCTAGGGATGGACACTACCACACTTGCTTCGGATGCTGAATCTGACCTAGATTTTCCAGATGAGTGACCAGGTTAAAGTTTTTGGAGCAGATCCATTCCCAAGTAACTATACGCCCTACCTGAACCAAACTTGCATGGATGATGCATATAGGGATGGACACTACCACACTTGCTTCGGATGCTGGATCTGACCTAGATTTTTCCAGATGAGTGACCAGGTTAAAGTTTTTGGAGCAGGTCCATTCCCAAGTAACTATAAGCCCTACCTGGACCAAACTTGCATGGATGATGCATCTAGGGATGGACACTACCACACTTGCTTCAGATGCTGAATCTAACCTAGATTTTCCAGATGAGTGACCAGGTTAAAGTTTTTGGAGCAGGTCCATTCCCAAGTAACTATACGCCCTACCTGAACCAAACTTGCATGGATGATGCATCTAGGGATGGACACTACCACACTTGCTTCGGATGCTGAATCTGACCTAGATTTTCCAGATGAGTGACCAGGTTAGAGTTTTTGGAGCAGATCCTTTCCCAAGTAACTATAAGCCCTACCTGAACCAAACTTGCATGGATGATGCATATAGGGATGGACACTACCACACTTGCTTCGGATGCTGGATCTGACCTAGATTTTCCAGATGAGTGACCAGGTTAAAGTTTTTGGAGCAGGTCCATTCCCAAGTAACTATACGCCCTACCTGAACCAAACTTGCATGGATGATGCATCTAGGGATGAACACTACACACTTGCTTCGGATGCTGAATCTGACCTAGATTTTCCAGATGAGTGACCAGGTTAAAGTTTTTGGAGCAGATCCATTCCCAAGTAACTATACGCCCTACCTGGACCAAACTTGCATGGATGATGCATCTAGGGATGAACACTACACACTTGCTTCGGATGCTGAATCTGACCTAGATTTTCCAGATGAGTGACCAGGTTAAAGTTTTTTGAGCAGGTCTATTTCCAAGTAATTATAAGTCCTTCTTAAACCAAACTTGTATAGATATTGATCTTGGGATGTACACTAACTAGAAAAAATATGATTTGAGATTTGCCTTACTTATAGATAACCTTCGTCGAGGTGAGCTTCGTAATCTTTGATTACCTATGTTTTTCAAATCATGACCCCCCAAGGAGAATAGAGGGGCCATAACAGGGGGGGGGGGTCATAGTTATGCAAAGGAATATAAAGGATATATCAATAAAAAATTTCATCTTAAGAAGAGCAAAGCCATTATGTGTCAAATTAATTCAAAAGCATCCTTAGGAAGTGTACGGGTAGATATCAATTTTGTTCAAATCATACCCCCCTCCCCACCACCACCACTTTTATATTGAAACTTTTCAATACTGAACTGATTTCTGCTATTTCCTAGCCAGAGTCCTTAGGTGAGTGATGTGGCCCCGGGCCTCTTGTTTTTAAGTTGTTGAAAATTTTGAAAGTAAATCTTCATCTTGTTTGGTGTAATTAATTAAGTCATTAACAAAGAGTTCATTCTTTGTAAGTACTTCCTCCATTTCTCAGCATTTTTAAGGGAAATAATTAATAAATGCTACACATTCTGCAAGTTTATTGATTTTTATTGGGAAAAGTGGATCTTGAGAGCATTAATCTCATTTATATCATATCATGCAGAGATCGATACAGAATTCCATATTTAATATCTGCTTACGTAAATCCTAGGCAGTACACAAGTACGAGTGTCCATAATATCAGCCATTTTGTTAAAATTCTTAATTTACAAAGTAACGGGGCACTGTGCTTCATTTTTGTCTTTAGTGCAAATTTTTTTTTGGCTGGAAGCAGCGTAAATTAAAAATGCAGAGCATAAAGCAGGCTTTCACTTTCATTAAATCCTGAATCATGCTTGGAAGATTCTCCTTGTTAATCAAATCCCAGATATGATCTTTTTTTTTGGTAAATAGTGATGTATTGATTTTCAACGCAGTCATGAGCTTCATTAATTGAAAAGAATTTCATTGGACTTACAAGTATCCAGATATGGTATCAAATTATAAACTTCATTGTATAGTGCAGGCTGCTGGGAAAAGTACTGTTGACATATTTATTGGGAATTGGTGTGTTCTTTAAGATTCTATAGTGTCAGTGCTTGAGATAGATGGACTGTCTTGGGTGTTGACCAAGTGTATATGGGTTGCTGTTGTAGCTACCAAGTTGTGTCCAAGAATGGAGTAGGGAGACAGATCCGTATCAATGGTAATCCCTGTGAAATCTACCACAGATGTGGCAGACATTTTGAGGTGTTACCTGTTAGATATCCGATATCTGTCACAATACTTATCTATTATTACTTTGAAGCTCAGTAGAATGCACTGGCTGGATTTTTTTTGTTAACAAGTTGTATGACATTTACATAGATCAATAAAAATGACTTCCTTTTCAAGAAAAAAGCAGCTGTGCTCAATTAAGTGCTAGACATTTTCCACGTGGACAATGTGTACCTACCAGGAAAATGGAAGTGCATTTATTTTATTTTTTTAAATCCTTTCTTTTTCTTTCTGAAGTACATTTCTTTCAATGATAAACATGCCCAAATTTTTTACATATTATAATTTATATTTGCTTAATGTTATCTTTACATAAGAGTTTTTTTTTTTGTTTTTACTTTATAATTTAAATTTTTGAGCTTAAATTTTTCTCTTAGATATATATATATATAGTTTTCATTTGTATTATTTTTCAAAATCTCTTAGACTATTGCCTTCCTTGTGTTATAAAAGGTATGAAAAAAAGCATAGCATACATTTCTTAAACAATATGCATATTATTTGTTAATCTAGACTATAATAAGTGAGCACCATTCATTTTTTAGTGATTGAGCCCACCAGTGTAAGTGCCATTGAACAGCCATCAACATCAGTGTTACGGAGTACAGAAGGTAGTTTTGAAAATCAGGCCAAACTTTACGTACCCCGTCACTATGGTAACCAGACTGGACTCAAAAGTTAACTGTGATGTCATGATCAGTTACCAAAAAAATGACTTGGAATTTACTTGCAAATTAGCAGGTAAGCAGAACTGTACTTAACTTTATTCAAGGAAAGTTCAAAAGCATGAAATGTCATTTTTATCATACTGTGTTAAGCTGATTGATGACTTTTGAAGTGCAAAGATTGTCATACATTTCAGATAATGTTATTTATACTACATGTGTATAATAGCTTGTTAGAGTCTGGAATATTAAATTAAGAAGTGATTTTCAAAACTCTTTTTTTTTGTTTGTTATTCAGTTTGCTGTCACTAGTTCTTGAACTCTTTTTAGCTCATCTGAGCCAAAGACATTAACTTTTTCAATGTGAGCTTTTCTGATCAAAATTTATCTGTCCATGTTGTTGTTGATGCATGTTGTAAACTTTTCACAGTTCCAGCTTTTTCTCCAGAACTACTGAGCCAATTTCAACCAAACTTGCGACAATTTAAAGCATCCTTGGATAAAGGGGATTCAAGTTTGTTTAAATGATGGGCCACACCCTCTTTCAAGGGAAAAAATTCAAAAAGAGTGAAAATAGGGTGGGTTATTTAAAAAATTTCTTATCAAAACTCACTTGGCCAGAAAAGATGAAACTTGTGTGGAAACTTTCTAAGAAGATAGTAGATTTACAGTCTTCGACAAATCTCCAGAGTCCCATGACCGAGACCTGGTAAAGTTGGAAGCGGGCATGTGGAAATTGCACACTTACAAGCCCCAAGGGCATATAATTTGGAAGCTTAACCCTCCATATTGTTTATAACGATGTACTTTCACTTTTGATTCGTGTGATCGATTTATTCATCAGATGTTTCATTTCCATTCATAAAGTACATATGAAATTAAATTACACCAATAACATTAAATATTCTTAAAATTGTTTTATTTATTCATCTGAAGTACATGGAAAATAAAAGTTTAACAACAGTTTATTCTACCGCAATTTCCAAGAAACTCTTTGCATTGGAGACACAAAAAGTGTACTCATTGAAAACAATTAATGGCTTGACAATAGATAAAAAAAAAATGAATTTCATATCATTTCCTTGGCAAAAGGCAAATTAGAATAAAATTACTTGATAAAATTCTGGGCATGTAAATATTTATTCGGCGAAGACTGGATTTAAGTTTGTTTAAATCAATAGGAGATCAGAATTTTACCTAGGAATATATGCAAGAAAATATTTTAAGGTGGAGCGACCTTCTGATAAGAGAGATAACTTCCCAAGACAATAATTCCAAGCTGTCTGATAATTTGTGTTACCAGAGTTCAGTAGTGAGGACCATTGTATAGTCAATTCATTCAAATCCTATTAATGTTACAACCATAGACTTATTTTCTTTTGCCAATAGTTTTAATAATAACTAATAATACTGGATATAAAACATTTGCACCCAGTTCTTTTAAACTGTTAAAATTTGGATATTTCTATCTCTTGCTATACAATTTTAAAAATGCGACAGTAACAGTAATTTATCATGTAATGGATAAAGAATTTTCATTTTAAACACATTTTCCCCCTAAAAATATTTTAAAGAAAGATAACTCTTGTAGATGGATGCATTTTTCTTACAAACTTAAAAAGCAATGCTTCATTATGCTTTCTAATATGAATTTAATACATGTATGTACAGTACTGTATGACACTAAATATTGTTTTCATATATATTTCGTATTTTTAATTTAATGTTAATTGTGATAATATATTATTGCTCTTTCTATTAATTCACTGTGTCAAATTTTCTTCATATCATGATTAGACATAATATTCATTTCTGAAAAAGTAAACAATACTTCATATTTCATACTGTTTTCCATTTGAATCTATAATAATGCTATTAGTGAAATTTAGAGCAGTGGGTTATTACACCTTAAAATCTAATAAGAACAAGAGTTGGCCAAGATAACAAAGAGCAGAGCCATAATCTGTGATTTTAAATTACAAGCATCCCCAAAATCAGATTTCACGTGGGAATATTATAAATATGTTTTATAATTTTTCCTAGAACAGTAAAGTCATGATTATTAGAGATATTAATATGCAAGCATTGACAGGTAGTGCAGATTCAAGGTTGATCAAATCATAACCCCTTGGGGTAGGGTTGGGCCACAGTAGGGGATCAAAATTTCACATGGGAATGTATAGGGAAGATGTCTAATAATCCTTTCAAAAACAATAGGGTCATGATAAGTGGTAGCTATTAGATGCAAGTATTCACATGTAGTGCAGAGATTCAAATCAAGACCCTCCTAGGAAAGGTGTGCCACAATAGGGTATCAGTGTTTTCAAAGGAAATTAGGATTGTATTTTTGTAAAAATATTTTAGAAAATAGAAAGACCACACTAAATCACATTCATATGGAAACATTCCTAAATTGTGTGGATTGAATTTTTTCTTCAGATGATAAATCTTGGATTTAGAATAAGGCTAAAATTATGGAGCAGTTTTCACCTAGTGCATGTTTACTTCTGCAGAACTGTAAGGCTATGTTAGGCATAATGATATTGAAGCATCTCCAGGATGTGTTGATTTAATTAAATTAGGTTATATCATGATCCTTTGTGGCTAGGGAGAGGTCATGATATGGGACAACCATTTTTAATTTGATTAAAAATTGAATTTTTCTATTGTTGTGATAATTAAAGAGCAGCAGGGCCAGTTTGTCTCAGGTAAGGCCAAATAAAAAAATATGTGTGGTTCCAGTTACCCGACCTTCCCTATTTTATACCCCTGACCCTAAACTTTTTTTTGGCAATTTTCATATTTTTTGCGGAATTTTCCCTGATTTCCATCAATGGCTCCGGTTTAAGTTTTAGTTTCAGCAATGACGGCCTCCTTGCAAAACATGGTGCTAGTATTTAATAGTTTTAAATCCAAAGCAAGCTAGCATGTAGGTGTCCCCTACCAATATTGACTAGTATATTATCACAGCACATCTAAATACCATTTGAAAAGCAGTGATAGGTATTACTTAGAAAAATTAAGAAAATCATTTTGTTAAAAAAAAAAAAAATTCCCTACCTACCTACCCTAATTTTTTTGGAAGTGTAACCGGAACCACACATATTTTTGTGTTTGGCCTAAGCATTGGGGCCCATAGGAATCTTGTTTGGTTGAAGATTTTTTTCATCTGTAGTTTGTCATCAGTAAGCTTTCTACATTTCTGCCTTCTGCTCTGAGCCACAGAAGCCGGAAGTATAGTCCCATGAAATACATATACTAGGGAAAAATTACTAATTAATACATGTATTTCTCTTGAAGGACAAGATAGGATTTAAGACCCCTTTTTTGCCCCAAATGTTGGGTGTCTTTCAGAATGATGTGATTGTTCATGATTGAAAACCTGTTTCAAAATGAGTCTTGATTTTAGTGACAAAGGTGATAGAAAGATCACAAAATATATCAATTTCCAAATTTTCTCAGTTTTAATCCGATTTTCACCAATATTTAAGGCACATCATTTTGGTTTCAGAAAACACACAGCATAATCAAGCTTGTCATATTTCCTGGGCTATTATCAGATACATCTTTAGTTGCAGAACTGTAGCTCTCCAAAGAAATATTTTTCCAAATTTTTAGGTCACCTGAGTAACTCAGGTGACCTATTGCTATCCGTTTTCGTCCATCGTCGTGCGGTGTGTGTCGTGCGTCATGTGTTAACATTTGAACATTTTCAGCTTCTATCTCTGCAACCGCTCAACCAATTTCAACCAATTTTGGCATAAAGCATTTATGGGTTAAGGGGAACAAAAATTGTGAATTTCATGGTCCCTGCCCCCCTGGGGCCTGAGGGGTGGGGCCAAAACCACTAAAATTAATGCAATCTTTAAAAATCTTCTTCTTTACTCCTGGACATCAAGCAGTCAAACTGTTTGCATGATTGTAATAAGCATTGAGCCCTCAACCAAAATTGTGAAATTCATGGCCCCAGGGTCAGGGGTTCTGGCGCTAGGGTGGGGCTCTAATGATTATATAGTGAAAATGCATTAATTCTTTAAAAATCTTCTCCTCTGCTCCTAGGTATTTAGCTGATGAACTAAGTACATGGTAATGATGAGGAAGAGTGCCTCTTCCAAAATTGTGAATTTCATGGCCCCAGGGTCAGCAGTTCTGGTGTTAGTGCGGGTCTCTAATGATTGTATTGTGAAAATGCATTAATTCTTTAAAAATCTTCTCCTCTGCTTCTGGATAATAAGCCAATGAACTAAATATATAGTTATGATGAGGAAGAGAGCCTCTTCCAAAATTGTGAATTTTATGGCCCTTGGGTCAGTGGTTCTGGTGTTAGGGCAGGGCTCTAATGATTTTATAGTGAAAATGCATTAAGTCTTTGAAAATCTTCTCCTTTGCTCCTGGGTATTAAGCCGATGAATTAAGTACATAGTTATGATGAGGAAGAGTGCCTCTTCCAAAATTTTGAATTTCATGGCCCCTGGGTCGGGGTTCCATTTGGGGGTGGTGAGGGGGGGGGCTTATTTATTATATACTGAAAGTAAATTAATGCTTTGAAAATCTTCTCCTCTACCCTTTGGTATTAATTAAACTAAATACATAGTTATGATGAGAAAGGATGCCTCTCCAAAATTAAGAATTTCATGGCCCCTGGGTCAGGGGTTCTTCCGCTTGGGTGGGGCTCTATTGATTAATTAGCAAAACTGCATTAATGCTTTGAAAATCTTCTCCTCTGCCCCTGAGTACTAAGCAAACTAAATGCAATCTAATATCATTGTAAATGTATTAGATATAATTATAAGTAAATGTGCCTTTTCTTTGCTTCTGGGTATCTAAGAGGCAAACAGAGTACAGAATCAGTATATGATAAGTGAAGCAAATGAGTTACTCCCCTTTGCTAAATGTTGTTAATCAAGAAATCCTTGTGTATACTTTAACTAACAGGTTATTTGATTGAATGAGAATACGAGAAAGAATGTTATATATGTAGGAAAAAAATAAAAATGAATGTTTGGTTTAAATGAGCAAAGCATGCTCAAAATCAGATTATTGCCTGATAAGCAGTGTAAAAGATTGACATAAAGATTATTTATATACTTAGCAAAAGTTTTAATTGTATATATAGTATGTTTACACTGAGGTGATCAATGGTAGAAGAGTCATGGATGACAAGAGACTAGATATAGTTGTTTTATGCTCTATCAAAGTGAACAAAGAATCAAAGAGATCCGGAGTGACTTACTGTAGATAGTGGCAAATAGCCACTTAGTATACCCAAGTCTGTGTGTACTGAATTGTAGCACTAGGCAAGTGACAAAAACATATCTGTATATAATGAATACATTTCACAATAGGCAAATGTCCATTGTATTTGTATATTTTGCATTCATTATCATCCCTGTAAGACTTTGGAAAACCAAGTATGATCCCAAGGAGATCACTGGAGTCTAGCACATTACAATAAGCAAGGGTATTTTTACCAGATTTTGAAATTCTTGAGCAACATTGCTTCATCTATCAGTTTATTTTGTTTTATATTTTTATGGATCCTTTACAGTGTTGTATAATACTCAGGTGACCGTTAATGCCCTTGGGCCTCTTGTTACCTAAACTGCACAAAAGTTTAAATTCCTTGGACCTTTGTCAACCACCCTTGTAGTCCTTTACAAATGACTTTTTTAAATTAGGACTTTCTAAAATTCACACAGATCAAAGAAAGACGTAGAAATAAACATGTAAATGTATATAAATTAGCATATATGAATGTTAAAGTAATTTTTAATCTTCAATTTATGGACTGAATAGTAGTTAATAAGAAATTTGAAAATTAAATTACCGGAACATTAACCAAAGAACATGAACACAAAGGCTTCAATATTATGTGCCAGGCTTTTCCTGCTTGATTTAAGGCCAGAATTAGGCTTCTTGTATCAATCTTGCTTTTTTTCTCCAATATTCTTGGGAAAATTCCCAAACTAAAACAGGAAGTGGCCTATATTTTCTGGATGAATATTAATGACCAGGTTGAAGTTTTTATAACAGGTTCATTTCCAAAGTATATTTTAGTCCTTAATCATAACTAAACTTGCATGATGCATACACATTACTAAACTTGCTTTGGATGCAGGATATGATGTAATCTTAAGCATTAAGTGGGGTATTTTCCTTCATTTTCTTTACTCTTGTAATTAGATTGAATATATTGGTATTAAATTTCATGGAACTACAGTATTTATTAATGTTTCAATTAGCATTGTGATCAGACATGTAAATAATAATCTTATTTTCTAGAAAGGAAGTGAATTATATAAAAAACACTCTATTGGTCAGAGAGAGTCTCCCAGAAATCTGTTTATTTTAATATGACTGTACATAAAAAAAAAAAAAAAACAGACTGATATTGTTTCCTTTAAATGTCTGGCATCAAGAGATTAATTTGGAAAGATATCAAATTACAGTAAAAAAAAAAAAAATGTAATCAATTAAAAAAAGAAGAAAATCAGTAAATCAATGTATTAAGAGCAGTTTGCTCTTAATGTCTGATATACAGTGTAACATTTATGTAAGGACCATTATTATTACATATTTATTTATGATACACTTTACTAACTAATATGACCATAAAGCACGAAATACTCCACTCCCAAAAATGAAATGTATAATTATTATATATTTATACTATAATATACATATATGATAAAAAACAAATTTCTAAGAAGGGTAATTTATTTTCAATAATTTTAATGCTGTTTTATGTTAAAATGGAAAACAATTTCAGGGAGATCGAATGACCCTTTACTCAATGCAGTTGGGTTTGACTCTCCCTGTAATAATTACATGTAAGTGTTCTAACAATAATGGGGATAAAAATGAAGTTCAAACTACATGTACTTTCAAATACCATAGGGGCTTAATATTGAATTGTGGAAGATGATTGATAACGTAATCAGAGTTACCTCTCTTAGCAGAGGGTTATCTCTCCTGTGTATTTTGTAGAAAAGTTTGAAGAGCAAGGATGGAAGGTTTGGTTTGCGGACCCTAAAATGGAGCACCGCATAATGGTCAACCAAAAAGGAGAAGCCATCCTCTCATGCAAGGTATAAACAAGTTAAATGATTACTGTATGTACCTATATTTGCCCGACACATCTGTAAGTATCCTGGATGTTTAAAAAAAAACTGTAAAAACTTATTATATCTGCCTGTATGTATTGTTCATACAATGTAAGTCTGGAAGGGCTGGTTTCTTCTTTAGACACATCAAAGTATACAGTTTGAAGGAGGTATTTGATTATTAACATGCACAACTTTCCAGGAAATATTAAAAGATGATTTGTATAATATGTTATTTCAAAGTGACAGCAGGAGACACTTATTTTGTTAAATTTGAAAAAAACAGGAAGAGGCCGGTGTAAGTGTGGAAAGGTGTGAGACCTCGGTAATGTGATAAATGCTGTATAATGATATTGGATGAACTTGAAAAACTGTGAAAAATCCACCTCTCTGATAAGAGAGGAAACCTTCACAGGGGTAAAGGACAATATTTTTTTGTAAAATAGTCAAGATAAAAGGTCAAGATAAAAGGTCACAAGGTGTGTGGTGTAAATTGATTTTACAGGTAATTCAATCTGATTGCAGGTAATTAGATTCCTTTTTGAAAAATCATTAGCATTTAAGCCAAATTTGATAGGAGTGAACAGAGGGGTAATGAACCTTATACATTATGTTTCTCATCTAGGTAACTTATTACATTGTTATTACATTGTAACTCATTATGTTGTCTATCAAGCTAATTATCTCAAGCATGGTAGGAGTACAATATATGAAGTCTTTAAGTTGGTCTGAAGTTTGCATGCACACTGTCGAGTATATATTTGAAATGTTTGAGTAGGTTTTAATTATGTCTGTATATTAATTGTTTGTAGGTATATATACTTTTTCTGTATCAGGTTTTGTTTTGTTTGATTTTAGGTGTTTGTAACTGTGATCACAGACACTTCCGCCAAAGACACCCAGTGTCAGGATGAGTTAGCGCTGGCTTATATATCCAACTCCTCCGTATTCCCAGTCAGTCTGAAGAAATACAGGGAAATCGGTCCAATGCTTGATGGAGGAATGTATGTAACATTCATAGCATATAGCTATTAAGTCAACATGCCTTGGAATTTACTCATGGTTTCCCCCAAAGTTATTATGTTTTAAGGCAGAATAATTTGAAATAATATATAATTGAGAAATAGTGAGTACTAGATCTGTTCAATGTTCCATAATTCAATAGGTTTACAAATATTTTAGCTGCCTAGTTTACCTTTTGCATACATCATGGCCAGGATTAGTGATATTTTAAAATATGCCAGCAACCTCAAGAAGTGCAGATTCAAGTTCAAATAATGGTACCCAGGCAGGCCTCTAAGTGACCTCTAAAATCTAGGCGCCAGCTGGCTCCTAATCAAAAATATTTAGTCGCCAATGCAAATTTTTAGTCGCCAGGCAATTTTTCTTAGGCGTCAACTTTAAAAGCTTATATTAGTCAATATACGGACCCACTAGGGCAACATGGGAAAAAGGGGGGGGGGGGTCTATTGCAATCATAAAGAAAAAATCAACGAGAAATAAAAGCTGGCAAAATGCCAAAAGGTTTTAACTTAAGCATGCATGTAAAACTCTATCATCTCAACCACTGTCTGTAGTCTTTTTAAGAGACTTAGATCTCATAACTCTAATAATATAAAGAATTGTTTACATGATTTACATTTTATGCTCGTCCGTACAATTACGACCAAACAGTAATGTCTAGACGATATCTCTAATGAGTGAGAATTTAATTGACAAACAATTGACCACATCCCATTCAATTTACTGTGTTTCACAATAGTTGATTTTCTGGAGTCAAAAATTACCTGGGGCTGCTTAATTGTATGTTAATCGCCAAGTCAATTTGAAATGGTCGCTTATTTTAAATGAAATTTTAGGTGCCAATCAAAATTTTTTGGTGCCATGGCAACTAAATTAGTGGCCAATTAGAGGCCTGCCAGGGAAAAAATGGAGCTGTAACAAAGGATAAAAGTTTTTTGAGGGAATGTAATCGAAAATTAATGAGGGGGGGGGGGCACAGCAAAACTGAAAACCATGGTATCAGATATTTTTATTGACAAGGCACACATTTTTGTGGCCTTAAATTAAACAGAAAAATATACTTTAGAATCATTTAATTTGTGGGGGTCAATGTCCGTGGGCAAGCAAACTTTTACTTGTTCGTTGGGACATAATTTCATGGGTTACATGTACTCGTTCATATAGTAGATTCAATGAATCAATATGTTTACATGTCAATTCATGGGTAAGGGTGACCCACAAAATCCACGAACATTGGTCATCCACCAACAATGATAATTCCAAGGTACCAAGTAGAAAATACTAAATCTTTTTAAATTATTTACAGTATTTTTTGAATAGAAACCTGTTACAACAGAAAAATACATGTCAGTAAGAATCTGCTAAAAGCATACTTTTATGTGATAGGAAGTTAATGTTGGCAAAGATCAACTGGACATTCTTTTTCAAAGAAGAATTATTTGAGCAGAATATGCCAGCTTTGTTGAGTTCCATAGGGAGGGTTATTGATGAAAAGACAGAAGAAACGGCAGCTCCGGAGTCATTTGATGATGGTAATGATAAGGTCTATAGTAACAATGTATAAAAGACACTGTGTTGGGTTCACAGAGTTGTTTTATTAAGACATGGAATATTAGAACCCTGAAATTGATAATAGATGAAAATCTGCATTACAAGTAATTACAAATACAAAGCATATAATATTTTTATTTTAAAATATAATGATTGTGATATTATCTTCAGCATTATGATACAGCTGCACTCTACATAAAGGGCAATAACTCTGTAGCAGAACAAATTTACAGAGATAATGCATAGAATTCAAGGAAAATGGATTTTGGTTATTTAGCTGGATTAATGAAAATATATGTCAAATATACTTTATAACTTATTACCTTATTAAATAATTTCAAGTTTTAGAAATTTCTACAGTAGGCCTATGTTACACTTATTGTTATCAAAAACAATTTTTCTGGAGGTTTTGATACATTGAATTTGATATTACTTCAATTATTCAAGGGAAATTTGCTGTGGTCCTACTTCAGCAAAATAACATTAAAAAATAGTTCAATATGTGCTTCACACTCATTTACGTTAAGTTCTAAAATAAAGAATATTACTTGAAACCAATAAAACTGTAACTATAAAAAATGATTAACTGAATTCAAATGTTTAACTTTAATATAGTCAAAAGTAAAGGAAAATAATAAGCTGTGAGAATTAGTAGGGAATTCACTAACCTGCTGTTAGGACCAAGGTCTGGGTTGAAAGTGAAAACATGAATTGCATGAAACCAAACTGTCAAGGTGACAGACTTGTTTCACAGATACATTATATGGCAAGAGAAGTAACTCTTGCTTATGTTTAATTTATTTCCTGGAGCTCCTAGATCAGTGTAATGTTTTTATTTTCTGGAGATATTGAGATTGCATGCAATCAGATTGCAGATAATCATCTCTTAATATATTAAACTGTACAGTATTGTGGCAGAAAAGATTTTATATTGTGTAAAATAAGTAGGACAGTTTTTTTTCACACTATATTTTTGTTATTCAAAATTGTCTAAGATTTGCAAAATGGTACAGAAAAAAATCATATTAATTCAATTTTAGGCACAATTCAGTTCCATGGCATGAATATAAATGTCCATGACAAATTAAATGTCGATTCTGAGGGAGAGGATGAAGATGAAGGGGAGTCCTCAGGTGATAAACCCCAACACATCCAGAAGTCGGACTCCAGCATGCTCAGCTATGATTTCTGGGATAGAGCCTTTGGTGACAAGACTGAAGTGACCTGGGTGGAGTTTAAGAAGAAGTTTGAGGCTGAGTACAAGGAAAAGATTGTCAAGACATACACAGAGGAAGAATGTAAGCTGTTTTTGAACTTGATCTACAAAGACATATTTATGCTGAACAAATCCATGAAGAAAGCCACCTATGACCAGTTCTGTGAGGGAAACCCCTCTGCTGATCCCCACAGGTTCTACCACAGACTGGCTCAGTATGCCAAGGGATATCACGCCATGAGAGAAGTCTTCAATATGGATAGTACACTGAGGCTTATCACCATACAGAAGCTAGGTATCTAATCTATTTCTTTGATATCAGTAAGATTAAATATGGATAATCCAATGTCCCTAAAGTATTCTCAGTTTAAATTGATTAATTTTTTTTTAAATTTCAAATTCATAACCTTTATGTGACCCAGACTTATTAGTTGGTAATGAGCATTTGATTGTACGTTGGTCATTATGACCATGCAGGCAGTTATTAGGCAGTGAGAAAATGCAAAATACTATTTAAAGAATATTTACATAAAAACAGAATTTATATGGTAAATGGGACACACATTCAATCATCATCATCTATCATTTCCTATACATGTATTTCTTAAGAAAAATTTGGCAAAAATTATATGTCTGTTACAACTGTGGCAATCAGGTAGGTTCAATCACCTATGGCCAGATACTAATTGGTAGAGCACCTGACTAATGATTCAGGGGGCCCGGGGTTGAATCCTAGTCTGGTCTGTCACATTTTTTCCTTTCCAATTTAAAAAAACTAACAAAACAAATTGTCATAAGATTTTGATGTAAGATGTGTTAACGACCAGACGTGTAATGTTGCAGGAGAGTTCTGTTTCCCAGCTGTCATCAGTGGACTCACAGACATGTTAAAGGATGAAGATGCAAACATAAGAGCAATAGCCACAATAGCCTTGGCAAAGTCAGGTAAGACAACCATGATACATAAAGCTTCAACCAAGTCAGGTAAGACAACCATGATACATAAAGCTTCAGCCAAGCCAGATAAGACAACCATGATACATAAAGCTTCAGCCAAGCCCAGTAAGACAACCACAATGCGTGAAACTTCAACCAAGTCAGATTAGACAACCATGATAAAGCTTCAGCCAAGTCAGGTAATAAACCATGATGCATAAGGCTTCAGCCAAGTCAGGTAATACAACCATGATACATAAAACTTCAGCCAAGTAAGGTAATACAACCATATAAAACTTCAGCCAAGTCAGTTAATACAACCATGATACATATAGATATAAGCATACTGTGAGGCCATGTTTATCTTTGTCAGTAAAACTTCCTCAAATGTCCTTGATTTTTAGTAATTTTGATCATTTTTCTAACAGCTTATTTTGTTAAAAAATATTCTGATTCTACACACAAGTACTCCAAAGTTGAAATTAAAAAGATGATTGAGTTTCTGATTTACAATATCTATGTAATTTTTGAAGATCAGGTCTTCCAACAATCTTTTGCAATTCCTATGGGTACTAATTGCACCCTTTTATTAGCAGACCTGTTTTTGTATTCATATGAAGCAAATTTATTTTAAAACTTTTACATGAAAAGTGGAGGTATCTTGCTATAGCCTTCAATTCGACATTCAGATATATGGACAATGTTTTATCAAATAACAGTACTCATTTTCATTCTTATGTTGATTCAATATATTCCTTTGAACTTGAAATAAAGGACACCACAGAGTCGGACACATCTGTTTCATATTTGGATATTTTACTAGAAAGGCAAACTTACAACAAAACTTCATGATAAACATGATGACTTCAACTTTCACCTTCCCTTATTTTTGTAGCAATGTACCATTATCACCTGCATATGGAGTTTACATGTATTTCTCCCAGTTGATTTTAGCAAAAACAATCCGTTGCTAAGTCCAATGTTGACCGACATTTTTATACAAACAATTAGGCATTATTTTCACACTGAATTCTCTACAGATTTTTCTGTTTACACAATCATGACATGTAGCACATGGCAATAATAAGATTTTCTTGGGAATTTTTTTATTTTTGTGTTTAGAGTACATTGCTCTTGTTGATTTCTAGCACAAAGTAAATTGTAGATATTCATTTTGCTATTACTGTGGAATCATCATTGTTCGTGGGGGATCAATGTTCCTGGATTTCGAGGGTCACCCTTACCCACGAATTTACCTCCCCACAAACAATTTTTTTGTCATCGTACTGATTAAAAAAATCTACCAAATAAACGAGCTGCCCATGAAATTACATCCCACGAACCAATAAAATTTTGCTTGCCCAAGAACATTGACCCTCACAAATTTAAATGATTCCACAGTAATAAATACAGCCATATTAAATTGAAAGTAAAATTAATTCCTCATTTTTTGCCTTTTTTAACAGGAAGAGCACAGAAGACCACTGTAGAGAAGATAATTGGGATGTTAGAGGATGTTGACAGACTGGTCAGAGAGAGTGCCTGTCTAGCACTGGGATACCTAAAAGCAGGAGGAAAAAGTGAACAAGCAGTTGCAGATCGATGGTAAAATTTGCAGATACATTCAGTTACTGAGGAATGCTGAAAATAATACTATTAATGTTTGAATACATGTAGTTGACTCCTTGTTTTTATCATTTTTATCAACAGGAGGAATGATCCCATTAAATCTGTGAGAGAAGCAGCAGAAATAGCACTGAAACGAATGGGAGGAGATCTGGCCAAAAAGTGTATCCATATCACAGACGTTCTGTCCTCAGAAATGCAGTTCCTAAAGACTCCTATATCCTAATGGTCTATCAACTACACAGAGAAATTAACTATGGCGCAGAATTCACTTTCCTTTTTAACCTGTTTAACTAAACTATGGTGTACCGGTAATTTATTACAAATGAGGTCCTGCTTTGTTATGTCAACAGGGTAACTTCAATTGTAGAAACTTTATTGCTCTTTATAGAAACATAGAGCTTCATAATTTTTTAAAGAATTAGTCTGCATTAAGAAGATTCTTGTAAAATACACATGTAAGACTTTTATAAAAAACATAAAAACAAAAAAAAAACATACAGTCAAACCTCATTATCTTGAACTAGATGGGATGGAGAAAAAACTTCAAGATATCCGAGGATTAGAGATATCAGGGGTAAAATACTTAAAGAATAAAGTGATTGGGACTTTCAAACACTTCTACATATCCATGGTATTCCAGATATCAGTGTTCAGGAAACCAAAGTTCAACTGTATTAGATTCTGAATTATTTTAACAATCTTCTATTATTATTTATTTCAAACATGTCTTCAGGGGGTTGGGTCTGTTTTTCATGTTCACCATTGGTTACAGCCATCATAAGCAATGGGGGAAAATCATGCAATAATATTCATGTATTTTTGTCACTTCAAAGGATGAATATATTTTTGATCATTCTGGGTTGGTTGAAATGACATTCCTCTGTTGTGAAAAAATTTTCCAATCACATCCGTCCATGCACAAAAAGAGGCTTTATTTATTTATTTTTTCTTACACTGTACAACATTTTTGAAAGTCTCAATAATTTATATTTACAATTATTTTCTTTCTGCCAATATCATCCTCACAATGTCAAGGTTTTGTGATTTCGGAACTCCACACAAACCCTTGACATAAGTCATTATTTAAAAGTTGGGCTAAAAAGCTTCTACTTCATTTGTTCCTGGTCTGGAACTGGAACAAATCAGAAAACAGCTTTTATTGTATAGGTAAGTTTTGTAAACAAATATGACTCGTCTTTAAAATGGAAAGTGTCAATATTGTAGGATTTGTGACTAGTTACTTTAAATGAAACATCGGGGATAAATTTTTTGAAGATTGTCCTCCTTACAATCACAAAAGATATGCTCTAGATTTGGGCAATTTGATAAAGACTATTTTGAAAAATATATTCTCATTGGTTAGTTTATAATTACCCATTACGTCATGTGTAACCACAAGCCCAACTTTTAAATAATGACTTATGTCAAGGGTTTGTGTAGAGTTCCGAAATCACAAAACCTTGACATTGTGAGGATGTGCCAAAATATGATTGAAAAGTTTTTTTTATTGAATCTTTTAATAAAAATCCTCTTTAACTTTATGTAACTCAAGCAGAAAAGTTTTTTTTCCCATGAATCTTTGATCTGTGATAGTTTTTTTTGATGTATGTAAATTTTTTTTATATACTTCTTTATTTTTATTTTCAATTCCACTACATGTATTTTTGTTCATTATACTCATCACTTGAAAAAGTATATATAAAAAGGGTCTATAATGATGGGGTGTCTGCACATCTGTCTTTATGGGTACCACAACTATACCACTGAATAAAATTTAGTGAGATTTCCACAGAATCTTTATTACATAATGCCATTGTGACCTCTTTTTAGCTCACCTGAGCTGAAAGCTCAAGTGAGCTTTTCTGATCACCTGTTGTCCAGTATCAGTCCATCTGTCTAGCTGTCCATCCATCTGTAAACTTTTCACATTTTTGACTTCTCAAAAATCATTGGGCCAAATTTAACCAAAGTTGGCAAAAAGCATTCTTGGGTGAAGGGGATTCTAAATTGTTTAAATGAAGGGCCAAGTCTTATTCCAAGGAAAAGGAAAAAATAGGGTGGGGTAATTAAAAATTCCTCTCAAGAACCACTGGGCTAGAATAGAGGAAACTTGTGTGAAAGCTTCATGAGATAGTGTATATTCTAAATTGTTCAAATCATAGCCCCTCGGTTTTGGGTGGGGCCACAATGGGATATCAAAGTTTTACATTTAAATATATAAGAAAAATTCTTTAAAAATCTTCTTCTCAAGACCACTGGGCCCAAAGGGATGAAACCTGTATGAATGCTTCATTACATAGTGAGATTCTAAATTGTTCAAATCATGGTACCCAGGGGTTGGGTGGGGCCACAAATTTACATTGAAATATATAGAAAAAAATCTTTAAAAATCTTCTCAATAACCACTGAACCAGAAGAGATGAAACTTATGTAAAAGCTTCCTGAGGTAGTTTAGATTCTATAATCATTCCTTCAAATCTTGGTCCCCAGGGTTGGGTGGGGCCACAATAGGGGATCATAGTTTTACATTGAAATATGTAGGAATTTTTAAAAAAAAAAAAAAAAAACTTCTTCTCAAGAACCACTGGGACTGAAGAGATGAAACTTGTGTGAAATCTTCTTAAGACAGTGTAGATTCTAAATTGATCAAATAATGGCCCGGGGGTTGGGTGAGGCCACCAAGGGGATCAAAGTTTTACTTTGATATATGTATTGTATGATTATAACAATAGAAGATCAGAGTTTTACATTGAAATATGTAGGAATAGTTCTTTAGAAATCTGCTACAGAACCACTGAACCAGAAAAGGTGAAACTTAAAAGCAAGCTTCCTGATGTACTATTCATTCTAAATCATTCACATCATGGCCTCCCAGGGTAGAGTGGGGCCACAATAGAAGATCAATTTTTTATGTTGTAATACATAGAAAAGAATTCTTTAAAAATCTTCTTAAGAACAACTGGGCCAGAGGAGATAAAATTTCCTGAGGTAGTGTAGATTCTAAATTGTTCAAATCTTTTTTCTCAAGAACCTTTGGTCCAGAAGTGAAGAAACTTTTACAAAAGCTTCCTAAGATAGTGTAGATACTAAATTAAATAAATGGTGGCCCCTGGGGGAAGGGTGCCATCGCAATAGCAATCAAAGTTTTACATGGTATGATACTGGAAATAAATTTTGAAAATCTCCTCAGGAAATACATTTGCACCATTCATATGCAAACATTCCAAAGTTGAGTGGATTCATTTTTAGCTCACCTGGACGAAGTCGAGATGAGCTTATGCTATACCCCTGGCGTCAGCGTCGGCGTCAGCATCCCGGTTAAAGTTTTAGGAGCAAGTCCCATTCCCAAGTAACTATAAGCCCTATCTGGACCAAACTTGCATGGATGATGCATCTAGGGATGGACACTACCACACTTGCTTCGGATGCTGGATCTGACCTAGATTTTCCAGATGAGTGACCAGGTTAAAGTTTTTGGAGCAGGTCCATCCCCAAGTAACTATAAGCCCTACTTGGACCAAACTTGCATGGATGATGCATCTAGGGATGGACACTAACAAACCTTCTTCGGATGCTGGATCTGACCTAGATTTTCCAGTTGAGTGACCAGGTTAAAGTTTTTGGAGCAGGTCCATTCCCAAGTAACTATAAGCCCCATCTGGACCAAACTTGCATGAATGATGCGTTTAGGGATGGACATTGCCACACTTGATTCAGATGCTGGATCTGACCTAGATTTTCCTGATGAGTGACCAGGTTAAAGTTTTTGGAGCAGGTCCATTCCCAAGTAACTATAAGCCCTACCTGGACCAAACTTGCATGGATGATGCATCTAGGAATGGACATTACCACACTTGATTTAGATGCTGGATCTGATTTAGATTTTCCACATATGAGACCAGATTTAGATTTTGGAGCAGTCTCATTCCCAAGTGAATATAAGCTCCATCTGGACCAAACTTTCATGGATGATGCATCTAGGGATGTACACTAACAAACCTGCTTCGGATGCTGGATCAGACCTAGATTTTCCACATGAGTGAATTTTAGCAATATTTTAACTAAATTAGCACGGATGATGTATCTAGGGATGAACACTTCCAGACTTTCTTTGGATTCTGAATCTGACTTACATTTTCTAGATGAGTGACCAGGGTAATTTTTTTTTTGGATTAGCTATATAAAGTTATGGCCTGTTATGATTAAACTTGCATAGATGGTGCATTTAAGGATGAAACTTCCTGACTTGCTTTGGATGTTGGAACTGACCAAAATTTTCTTGATTAGTAAACAGGTTAAAAGTTTTTTGAGCAGGTCTATTTCCAAGTAACTATAAGTCCTACTTAAACCAAACTTGCATGGATATTGATCTTGAGATGTACCCTAACTAGAAAAAAAAATATGATGTGAAATTTGCCTTACTTATAGATAACATTCGTCGAGGTGAGTTTCGTAATCTTTGATTACCTATGTTTTTTCTTCAAATTATGCACTGTGGGTTAGAGTTAGCTAAAATAGGAATTAAATTTCACATAATGCATAATGAAGGAGAAGAATTTGCTTTATTGAATTATTGCAAGACCATGATAGTCATGATGATATTGAAGCATCCCCATGCTGTGTGAATACAAAGACCTTTAGAGTTAGAAGGAATACAGAAATATTTTTGGAAATCTGATGAAGAACAACAGGGCTAAAGGTACTCAGGTGAGCATTGTGGCTTCTTGTTTACTTTATTTGGTCTTTTTCCATTATACTCATATGGGGCAGGGGGTGAGCTCAGTACTCACAGTACTTGAGTTTTCTAATTTCGATGTGGGCTTATTGTGAGCTTATACATGTAGTCAAATTTTTGAGAGTTTTGTTAAAATGGTTTCTTTAAAATTATTTTTGTTATTGAATATTGTTTATTTTGACTTTATATATAAATGAATCATGGAATGAAACCCACATGCAGTTTGAATTTTTTTCTGTTCCAATGAGACAATTATACATTAAGACTGATATTGGCACATTAAATGCAAGTTGTATTTTGTTTTTTAGATTTATTCTTCATCATGTTCATAAACATTGTACCAAAAATGAGATTCTAGAAAAATTGTGCACTATAAAAAAAATCATTTATTTGTTGTTTCTTTTCAAGTTCTTATCATAATTTTTACTGTGAAGATCAATAATGAGTGTATCGAGTGTTGTGATTTCCATATTCATCGTAAACACTACAGAAATAATCAAATGGACGCACTGCCTCTACTGGGAATTTGTAGGTCAAGGTGACCTCTTTTCTCTTTAACATGGTAGACGATGGCTCTATTTTCTCTGATTTGTTGATCAAAACCATGTGGTCTGGCACTGGAACATGACAGGATACCCTCATCTGTCCATTTCCTTCAACCACGAGTCGAAGATTAAGCTAAAAGGAAACATTGATATACTGGTATATTGGTATCTAGGATAAGCAGAGTGTTTGTTAGATATCTTAATTTTAGTTGAATATCTGTCTGTAATAATTATCCTTGTTTATAGTTACAAAAGAAAATGACAAACCCTTCAAAAAAGATCATCCTAAGGCTCATGAGAATTCATAATTTTCTCATGCACAAACATCAACAAAAAGGAAATCGAAGTCTATGAGACAAAACATTAAAGGAATCTGTCAATACTTACCTCTCTTGAACTGCTTTCTGTCATCTTTGTAAGATCTTCCAAGAAGGTGGGCCCTGTGTACACTTTGAAGGTGCTTACATTCTTGTCACCTCCTGGATTTTCAGAGAAACAGATGTACTCGCCATCTATTTCTCTGTTTTGTACATCTTTCTTATGAAATGTGACATACGAGGAAGAAAACAGGGGACTCCTGACTTCCTGTATTGAGATATTTTCAGATTTGCTTATTTGACTACCATCTTTTTTCATGTATACTCTTGGAGGATTTTCCCCAAATGTTTGGCAAGTGACAGTTGAAGGTTGTGGAAAGGTTTTCCCTCCACTTTCTGACAAGTATACCTCAGGGGGGAGATTTTTACTAATGGATACTTTCTCAACAGAGGAAAATACCATGCCCAGTCCAAGGATGAGAGGGGCATCTAAAGTGACTTTCAGGAATACCACTCTCTCATTCAGAAATGATTTTGGAAAGCTAATCTTTGCCCAGGGTGTTGGCCCAATTGTTATATTTGCTAACTCGTGTTTAGTTAATAAAGTTTCGCTATTTACAGAATTATCATTTGACAAATCTTTCGATGGTTCAATGTCTCTGTCAAAAGATCTTCCCCGAGACGGGATCTCGAACGATGCTCTTCGAGAGGAAAACTTGCCTGTGCTTCGAGGATTCCTTGACAGTAGCACACCTTTTCTTTCACTGTGATTTTCTATAGGCTGATAAAAAATTTTATCATCTGTGTTGTTGAACAAATAAACGCCAAACTTTATTCCCCAGTATACCCTTGGCCAGTTATAATAATTTGTTGAGAATGGTGGGTCGCAGTTAAAGTCGACATTAATTTCGTGGACATCTGAAGTTGGTGACGAGACCTCTGAGAATTTGGAGATACATTTTCGCAACTGTACAGGGAAAGTTGATTTACTGGGATAATCCTTGCCCCATGAAAAAGACTCAAATCGCAGACTGCTGGTCTGGTCAGCAATTTTGGTGGTAAAGTACACCGCTCTTACATAAGATGAATCCACAGTCAGAGAATAAACCGTCAGTTTTCCATTTTTCTTCACAGAGGACCCAAATGTTGGCTCATCAACTAAAATGAATTTAATATTAGTATAATATAAAGAGCAGTGAGGATATGTGATGGTTTGTGCCACTCTGTATATGCATATTCGACTTCAGTCCTTAATACATTTGGAACAGTATATCCACATGTCTTAGGCGTCTTAAAAAAATTGTCTACCTAGTCGATTTTATCTGACCTAAAAGAACTTTATTAACCTTTTTAGAGGTTATCTTTATCGCCTCTTGCTAATATGGAATTTTCACCAAACAAAATTTGATGAAGACCCCCACTGCTACCACGTATGATCATCTGTATGACCATTGCCTTGCAGTTTGTTTCTTGTGTGTATACAGCTGATTCCTACTTGAATCCTTCATATTTAGCTCACCTGAGCTATGAGTGCACGTATTGTTGTCTGAATTCAAGTTTGAATAAACCATGACCCCTTGGAGGTAGGCTGGGGTCACAATATGGGGTCAAAATTTCACTGGGAAGAAAGAAGGGGAAAATCTTTTTGAAAAAATATTTTGGCCAAGGTGACTCAAGTGAACGCTGCTGCCCATTGGCCTGTTGTTCATATAGTACTACTAATATATTATCATCAATATCCTTATTTCTATAGCGTTGCAAAACTGTACTTGCATAATAAATCCGATGCAAATCCATTAGAAAGAAACGCAGATATAGAATGAGTTTTGAAGTAGACAATATCAGGATTTCCATATCAGTTGAAAAAGTACTAGTTAAAAGTGTACAAAGTCTGATTTTAATACGCAGTATTTTTCACATAAAAATTTAACAGCAAATAATATAACGTAATTGTAACCTAGAATTATTCTTTTAAATTTCTACAGAAAAACTAAATAATAAAATCGATAGATTTTCATACAGCAGGATGTGTCATACACATTCAGGTGTGTTTATCACTGAAAAACAAATCTGAGTGTGTATGATCCTTTGTTTCAGAAAAAAATAAAGGCATTTACAATTTACTGCAATATATTACAATTTCGACCGCTTACCCCCAATGACACCCGAGTTGATTTGCCAGTACACAGTTAAAGAGAGACCCGCCTCCGGAGCTACCATCTCCACAGAAATATCAACAAATCCAGTGGTAGAGTTGTACTGTTTGCTGACTGACTTCACGTTATTTACACCATACTTCTGTCCCTACAATATGTAAAACCGAGAATTTTAGTAATGTAGTTTTTTCCACTTTTATTTTGTTTAAAAAAAAATACCGCAAAAATTCGAATATTTGAAATCACAAAATCATTTTCTGATATCAAAAAATCGTTAGGATTTTCTAATATCAAAAAAACGCTATTTTTTATATCAAAAATTCGAATTCTTCATATCAGAAAATTGCAAGTCATTTTCTGGTATCAAAAATTCGAATATCTCATATCACAAATTCAAATTCGATTTTCTGATAACAGAAAATGATTTTTTTTTTTATATCAGAAATTCAAACTGATTTCTTGAAATCACAAAATATTTTTTCTGATATTAGAATTTAAAAAAAAATGGAGAAGAATCTTCACATAAATAATGAACACTCCTTTGACCCGTAGAAAATCGCTGAACCATAGTGCCAGGTTTGCTTTCTAAAATGTGTTGTCATTTTTCATGAAAGAATTATACGAATTTACCATAATGAAATTTGATTTACTATTTTATAATTCCTCACATCAGAGACATAAATAACAGAGATTCCCAACTCCGCCATTAACATGTTTGTTTAACTAAAATATGCAATGGACCTGATTTTATCCTAAAAATAAGTCTTTACCGGTTGTGTATTTCTATCCAAAATTAAATTAACTCTTTTATATGTGGCTGTATGATTTGTAAAGTTTTAAAACAATATATTGGTTTTTAAAAGCAAACTAGGCAAATTAAAGAGGTCATTGACCGAAAGTAGGCGAAATCGCGGCAATATGGCCGACCACGAGTCACTTGTTGCAATTTCAAATTATTCTTTTCGTATTGCTTATTATTTTTTTTTTAAAGTACGAGAAAAATAACATCCTAAATAATTTGTTTATTTAAATATTTTTTTTTACTTTGTTATCCCTGTTGATTTTAAAGATTTATGTGATTTAAATTGCATAAGATTGGAAAAGTGTAAACAATAGGGACCGCAAGATCACGCGAGACTTTGAAAAGTAACTTGTGAATTTCTGTTACATTGTATTTATGTCTCTATTAATGTGGGTCTACATTGATTTACAACTAATTTCTGGGAAAGACGAAGGTTGCCTCACAGGGAGCATTCGTAAATTCGTTCTTATTTTTATGGGGTCTTATTTTCTGACATCAAAAGATCGATTTTCTGATATCAGAAAATGCAAATCATTATTTGACATCAGAAAATCAATTTCTGATATCAAGAAATCGGATTTTTTATAAATAGTAAAAAAAAAATGAATTTTTTTTTATATCAAGAATTTATTTTTAGCTCACCTCAACGAAGTTGGGGGAGCTTATGTAATACGCATCCCAGGTTAAGGATTTTGGAGCAGTTTTCTTTTCAAGTACTTCTATGGCCTATATTAGTCAGAGATGCATGGAAGATGCTTCTAGTGTGTTTCATTGTACCAGTCAAGGTTTCAGATGCTGCAATTTCAGCTAAAGAATGACCAGGTTAACGTTTTTGGAGCAGGTTAAAATTTTTGGAGCAGGTCTCATTTCCAAGTAACTATAAGCCCTATATTGACCAAACTTGCATGGATGATATATCTAAGGATGCACACTACTGAACTTGCTTCGGATGCTGGATCTGACCTACATTTTCCGGATGAGTGACTAGGTTAAAGTTTTTGGAGTAGATCTCATTTCCAAGTAACTATAAGCCCTATATTGACTAAACTTGCATGGATGATACATCTAAGGATGCACACTTCTGGTCTTGCTTCTGATGCTGGATCTGACCTACATTTTCCGGATGAGTGACCAGGCTAAAGTTTGGATCAGATGTCAATTCCAAGTAACTATAAACCCTATATTGACCAAACTTCCATGGATGATGGATGATACATCTAAGGATTCACACTACAGGACTTGCTTCAGATGCTGGATCTGACCTACGTTTTCCGGATGAGTAACCAGGTTAAAGTTTTTGGAGTAGATCTCATTTCCAAGTAACTATAAGGCCTATCTGAACCAAACTTGCACGGATAATACATCAAGGGACGAACAATCTCAAACTTGCTTTGGATGCTGGATTTGACTTACATTTTCTGGATGAGTGACTAGTTTTAAGTTTTCAGATAAGTCTATTCCCAAGTAACTGCAAGCCCTATCAGATAAAAATTGCATAAATGTTGCATCTAGGGATGCACACTCCAAGGTTATTAGTTTAGTGTGGGACTTTGCCTTACTTAAAGACAACATTCGTTGAGGTGAGCTCTGTAATCTCTGATTATCTATGTTTTTTATATCAGGAATTCGATTTGATATCAAGTATTCTTTTTGTTTTGTTTTTTAAATCAGAAAATACGTCTGAAATATTAAAACGGCGCCTCATAATATAGAAAACTGAAAGGCTAACAATATCAGAGATGGTCCTTCTATGGGCGGTTAAAGAAATTAGCAGATACACATTCAGGCATACATACATACGGACAGACAAATTGATATGACCCTTAATTTTTAACAGTCTTTCTTTTGTAGTAAAGTTCTTCTGTGTAAAATTTAAAAACTGTTTGAGTCATCGAGTCAAAACTATATATGTGTAGATACAGACAGCTAAATCTAAAGGTGTCTTGCTCTCATAGTAAAGAACATTAAGTACAAAATTTAAAAGCATTGCAATGAAAAATCTTTAAGTAATCGCTCACAACAAAAGTGTCATGGATACATATTCAAACATGTGTACAGACAGATGGACAAGGTGATGACCGTAAAATCTATAGGTATCATTCTTGCACTTATGGTAAAGTAGTTATGGACAAAATTTGAAATTTCGTGAAAATTAATGCGTTATCGCGTCACAAAAAAGTGTTGATAAACAGACATACAATGTGATTCTTATAGGGCTCCCATATTTTCATGCGGGGCCCTACTTACCTGTATTTCATTTATTTGACAAAGGAGTACAGCCAGTAGAAATGCAATCATCCAAAGAGATGAGACATTTAAATCCATGCCTATTGATCACAATTTAAACAATGTGAAAATGTAGCGTAACGTGTCTTTATACTTTTTCAAATTAGCCCAAAGGAAAGATATCTATCAAAGCTGGAACTGGGATCACGATTTTTGCGACATATGTTTATAAAAATGAAACTCTTTAATCTAATTTAACAGTCTCATTTTTTAAAAAAATGCATCTATGACTCCTTTGAAAAGAATTAATTTTTTCAACCTTAATGAAACATGAAAAATAATCAGAATTCTACGTATGGAGTATTCAGTCTAAATTTGACAATTAGCCGGTTATTGACCTTGTTTGTGAGAAGGTAAAAATTATTTGTCTCGTACCTCAATGCTTCCAGATAATTTTATTTTGTCAGTCTGTTTCCTTGGCCGTCTGGAAAAATTAACTTAAAATCTTTAAAAAAAAGTTCAACTTCGATACATCATAAACGGGAAGCTCAACGTTCATCAGTATGTGCATTTACTGTTAAATCACATTTGTGTGAGGTGAAATTTTTGTGGTTATAGGAAAAAAATATTGGTAACTGAGGATTTGATTTCATGGCTAAAGGAGTGTTAGGTAGTTATGCATTTGAAATTTTACATTTCGGGGGGGGGGGGGGGGGGATTAATGGGTCTTTTCATACCTCGAAGACAACCAAAATTAAACATCCCTACCCCACCCCGCCCCTACCCCCACGAAAATGTGTGATTTAACAGTGTGTATTTGGAATTTCCTTTCCATACATCGATTTGCATCTAGGGATTCAAAAGTGTATATGAAAGAAAAGCTTGAAGCTACTGTCACAAATCTAGATGACAATTAACCAGCACTTTGCAAGGTCACAACATTCTTATTCAATAAATCCTTAGGCTGAAATTCAATTTTATTAACAATCTTTGTATTCTCTGTTACAACTTTATGTTAATTCTTTTGTTAAACGATCTGTTTCTTATAGTCAGTATTCTTTGCAACTTATATTTTTTTCTTTTACAAAATGATTTTTATCTTCCTTCTGCATTTTGTATTCATCTTCTGCCACCTTTTGCCTTTATTCCCTATTTTAGGTCTTTTTCATTTTTTTTTTCGTATCTTTTTTTCTAAAGTGTTCTTCTATGGTATTTTCTTGATAAAATAGTTCTGCTTGAATCTTTTCGGACACAAGCTTTTCCCACGTTGAGGATACACTGGTAAGAAAGAACAAAATAGAATACTTTATATTTCAAATATCTGTCATATGTCTAATGACATATATCTCTTATCATTTCAGGTTTCAGTTACTTTGTCTGATACATTTCATTCACAGTTTGCCTCTTAAAAATAATTCATGGAATATACTTTTTGGAACTCGAAAGGCAGCTGAGCCGTTTTAGATGAGTCCTGCTTGAAGGTCGTGAATGGCTAATTCAAAATTTATGTGCATTCTCATCTCCTTAATTTGCCATAAAATATATGGAGATAACGAACTGTATTCAAGCTCAAAAGATCATTAAACAATACAAAATTTGGAGCAGAGCAAACATGAACCTCTAAAACACTAGAGGTGGGATCAGGTGCCATGGAGGAGTGAGCATCCCCTGCCGACCGGTCACACCCTCCGTGTGCTCCTTGTCATGATCGAGAAATAACGGAAAAATCCGTCGACACTTCAGTGTGTAAATAATGGCCTAACAATAAGTATGAAAAACGTCAGTCAGCATTTGACTTTATGATAAACTGTATTTGCTGACAAGGTCATGTATCGACCATAGAGCTTACGAATGAAATATGAAGATAACGAACAGTATTCAAGCTCAAAAGTCCAATGAAACGATACAAAATTGGAGCAGAGCAAACACGGACCTCAAAATTTAGAGGTGGGATCAGGTGCCATGGAGGAGTGAGCATCCCCTGCTGACCGGTCACACCCGCCGTGTGCTCCTTGTCATGATCGGGAAAAAAAAACCCGGAAAAATTCGTAAACAGTTCAGTGTATAAATAATGGCCTAAAAATTAGTATGGAAAAGGCCAGTCAGCATTTGACTCAATGATAGGTTGTATGTGCCGACAAGGTCATTGTATTGACCGAAAAACTTGTGAAAAGATGACTTCAAACAAGACTTTTGGTATCCTTGTTTCGTCAACTTGTTTGTCAATAGCTTGCCTCGTTTTAGAAGTTGTTCATTGTTCATGCTCTTGCGTATCGAATCAACTGAGAGACATAAAATCCATATGCAGGTGATAAGGGAATATTGCTACATAAGTAAGGGAAGTTGACGATTGAAAAGTTGAAGTCATCACGTTTATCATAAATCTTTATAGTTAGGTTACCATTAACGTCTTTTTCTAGTAAAATATCTAAATATGAAACAGATGTGTCAAAATCTGTGGTATCTTTTATTTCAAGCTCACTTGGATACATCGAGTCGACGTATGAATGAAAGTAACTATTGTTAATTGATAATACGTCGTCGATATATCGAAATATGGACTTTAAACGAGACTGCTGATGTTCTTGTTTCATCAACTTGTTTGTCAATAAATTACCTCGTTTTAGAAATTGTTCATGCATAGAGCATGCTTTTGCGTATCGAATCAGATGAGAGATATAAACCCTGTATACAGGTGGTGAAGGTATATTGCTGCATAAGTAAGGGAAGTCTACGATTGAAAAGTATCATGTTTATCATAAAGTCTGGCTGTTAGATTACCATTAACGTCTTTTTTCAAGTAAAATATCCAAAATATGAAACAGATGTGTCAGACTCTAGATATCTTTTATCTCAAGTTCACCGGGATATATCGTATCGACATAAGTATGGAAATAACAATTGTTAATTGACAATACGTCGTCGATATATCTAAATGTCGAGTTGAAAGGCACGGCAAGTGTTTTCTTCTTTTGACGTATAAGATTTTGAACAAATTCTGCTTCATATGAATACACAAATAGGTCTGCATCTGTCAATGATATAAAAAAGCCTGCACTGGACTTTAATGTAACTTTAATGGGGAATGGTTGTATATAAAGTCGGAAGTTTTTATGCTGTTGATTTTGGTACAAAAAAATTCCAAAAGTTCCTTGGAATTTTTTAGTATCCACATCTGATTTACACCACTTCTCGAATATATTGTTGCTGAGTACTCCTGAAGTTTGTCCTTCATTTTTGTTAATATTTTAGTGAGGAGTAAAGAGGCTTGGTAGAACATTTACTGGAACCCTCTATGTATTTTTATGAAGATTCGGAATCCAATATAGATATGTTAATTCAAATTCATATTGGTTGTTGGGAATACTGTAAATCACTTTTTATTCGCGAGAATTTTATTTTCGCGTAATTACGCGAGACGGTTTGCTCGCAAAAATTTCATTCTCGTGTTTATTTTTATTTGCATATATACAGCAATAACTAGCATTCGTGAATATTTTGTCTCGCTTATAATTACCAAATACCTATCTCGCGAAAATAAGGTGTCGCGAATATTTGGTGATCTACGGTATTAAAAATATTCAAAACTGACATATGATTTTGAAGAATTTCCTCCTTATAAAGGGAGCTATGGGTATAAGTTGGATAACCACTTGTAGAATTAAATCCCATTTCTTCTAAAATACAATTTAAATAAAGAGCCTTACAAACAAAGACACTGTTGTTACCTGCTTTGTCAGCAGCACATACTGATCGTGTAGTGGGTGAATTAAAAAAAATGACCAAACGCATATTTATCAACCCACACTAAAAATACAGGCAATGAAAATTTTTATGTCTCAGCAAATGTCTTTAGATAGTGTCTAAATACCTGCCAAATATCTCGTTGATATCTCAATTAACAAAAAAGTTATGCCCAAAAATGATGCTAAAAATGTCAGGAGTGAAACACCTTTGTGTGACATTTTGAAATTTCAATATTTTTTGAAGATCTGTGAAATAAATAATAATGGACTGTAGTAACTTTTGTTTAATTAAGTTGTGGTCATGGCTGATGTTTAAAAAAATGTTATACCATGTCAGGAGTGCAACAGAAAAAAATGTAGTGTTGCCAAAAAATCGATTGTAAAATTCTGAAAGAAAATTAAGACAAAAAAGAATTTTCGAAGTATAAAACAATAACTGATATACATTTTAAAACTCAAAAATATTACATAAATCACAAGCAGCATTAATGAGAGTCAGGTTCATACCCAATAATGTCAGGCGTGCAACATTTGATGTTTTGCTCCCAAGCATGAAAAAACTATTATCATTACATGATTTTCTGATTTTCATTTTGGAAAATAAAGACACAAAGAACATTTTTATCAAATAGATTTATCAATTATAGAATCTGTCTGTGCTTCAGATATATATTTCTATGGTCAGGAAAGCAACACATTTTTGTAAAGATTCAGCTTGTGTGACGAAAACACTTCTATTCATGCTTAGAAGTATTCATTACTTAATAATGATCTTTTTGTATAATTTAGTACTAAATTATTGACAGATTTATAATTAAAATCCTCCCTTTTTCAATTTTATCAATTCAGATGTGTTTTTATCTATTTTGTGATTTTTTTTAATGAACGTTAAAAGTAAACACACTAAAAAATTGTCATAAAATTCAAGTAATTCCTCCTCAACTTCACTGAAACAACAGAACAAGTTCTTATGTAATTTTCACTTCACAATTCTACTTTAAAGGGCCCAATGCTTTTGGTCAGGAGTGCAACAAATATGTTAGAATTATAAATCATCCGCTAAGAATAAAAATAAAGAAAAAATGATGAGTACAATTTTTCTGGTGGATTACTGTGTTTGTCCTCTAAAGGAAAATATGCTTTAAAATATATTTTATCTTCTAAATATACATTTAAGCTAGTTTTTTGGCATAAAATAGGGTATAATTCCAGATAAAATGCGAATTTTAAATACTTTCATCTGTTTTAATTATGAAGTATAGGACTATAAGTATTGCACAATTTCATTACCACTTGATGTTGCCTACACTTTATGAATTTTTGTGTTCTATGGTTTTAATTTTAAACTTTACTGCAGTCAGGAGTGCAACAAAACTGCTTCATAATTACCGATGCTTTTTAACTATCTTTAATAAAAAATAAGTTGAAAAAAATGCTTGATACTATTTGATGTTCAAAACACTATGTCTATCACCAAATTACAGAAATTTTACAGTCAATTCAGGGAATAGTCTTCATCATTTCACATATATTTTAAATACAATTTATATATATTACTCTTTGCAAATAATCATGTTTTAAGGTCTTCAAAATATGAAAAACCTTCTGTAAACGATGAAAAATATCAACACGACAAATTGATTTACAAAGTAAGAGTGTGTTATTGTGTGTTATAATTTTTAAAACAATGTTAAATAAAATACATATCAGATGTCAGGAGTGCAACACAATAATGTAACATAGAGTCACTTCAAAATCTAGTATTTTTTGTAAGAGAACTCGTATATAAAAATTCTTTTTTGGCTTAGATTTAAAGAATTTACTTGAACGGACAAAAAAGTGAATTTTGGGGAAATTTATTGCTTTATTTTTTTTTCATATTAAAACTTTTCAAACCGGAATTGAAAAAATAATGTAAAATAACAATCAAAAAGCCAATTTGTTGTCACATATTTTAGAGAAGATACTCAATCAAGGTCTAGATTTAATCATTTATACCCCTTTTACCATTTTGAAGCATAAAAAAACTATAATTTCTTGTGATTATGTATTTTAGATAGTCTTTTAAGGTGTAATGATATTTTCTTTTTTCAAAAGAAATTTTACTTATAAAAATTCTGAAACTTTTTTTTATCCAATTGTCTATTCTATTGCCACTTTAGGATTTTAAACTAGAATGCATGTGCAATATGATGATATATGTGAAAGATATGTTATAAGTAGTTGAATTTTTCCAAAAAAAATTCAGTTTGGTGGTCATTTTTTTTTAATTCACCCTAATCTATTTAATTCTTTTTCACTTCTGAATTATTGAACACAGAAGAATAGTTGGTTTTTATTTTGCCCCTCAACCGCTTTATGCAAGATTTTAACATACATCCGATACATTTAATCCATTCTGACAACGTGTCAAGGTCTTCTTTTTCATGTCCGGCCCATCACCTGGCGTTATCTTCCACAGAATCCATAATATTCATGAAATTATGACGCCAGTTAAAAGATCGGGGTTCCTTAAATCGTGCCGCTTTTAAAATTTATGATTTAAGGTCATCATTATTAACTATATTTATGTCACCAGTAATAACGTGTCCAGCAGGACCATAGTTGTAGGGTAAAGAAGAACATGAACAGGAAGGATGATTATGTTTCAGATATTCGATATCTATAGGCTCTGTAAAGTTTTCTTGTAATTAAAAAGTTAGTTATAGACTTCAACATTCTCGTGTCCAAAAGTGTCCAAATGCCAGATTACTTCCTAAAGAAGGTAAACAGTTTTCAATTTCGGTACTTACAGGAGGATTACTGAGCTTTGTTAGACATGTACTGGGTATAGATTTAAGGCATCTTCTACTACAGGCAATCTTTTGCTCAAATAGATGAAGTTGACATAGACATTTCATAATCAGGGTTATGTAGTAATATATGAAGCAAATTTGGTTGTGAAAAAATTGGAACCTCCCGAAATAAGAGTTTCATGTTTAGACAATTTTCTTCTCTCTCTCTCTCTCTCTCTCTCTCTCTCTCTCTCTCTCTCTCTCTCTCTCTCTCTCTCTCTTACGTTCATGTACTCAGTATCTAAAACATGTAAATCTTTAAACAATTTGATATATAATATTACTAATAAAAGAAATTCAATTAATGAATTATTTATGATTTTTTTTTTTAATTCATAAGCTTAAACTGATGATTTGAAGAGGAAAGATTCTAGATGATCAAAATACCTTTATGTCAATTTGAAATACTTATGATTATCTTTCTGAAGAAAAGAACGAAATATACATTGTAATATACATTGAATTAAAAAAGTCTCCGGCATTGGGTTGACTTGAATGACTCATAAATATAACAAGAGGCCCAAGGGCCTTAACGGTCACCTGAGTATAATACAACAATTTAGAAGTTAAATACACTGATAGTTGAAGCTTTGTTGCCCTAAAGCAAGAGAAGTAGGAAGATCAGGATCAACAAAATAATTAGTCTAGTATTCAGTATCAACTTATAAATTAAGTTCTAATCTGTCCCCCACTTAACACTATGCAGACTATTAACAAACTATTAGTGCTTCTGTACTATTTTTAAACCCATATTAAGACCTCTAGCATTGACCTCTCTTATGATCTTTGAAGAACTTTTAATAAGATAAGTTGTTTTTGTCTCATTTTTATTTATCTATTACTTACAGGTCTACCTGTTTATTAAAACTAAGAAAGTACTTTTTTAATTATACAATAAACATTCTTGCATAATTATCTTATTCTATTAACCTTTCAAATACATTATTTACAGTGATTAATTATCAAAGGTGAATGGAAAAGGGGAATAACTTCTCTCAGTAGAATACAAATTAATAGAGCCCTGCCCAGGACCAGAATGCTTAGACCAATGGTCCAGATGTTTATATAATCTCCAGTAGCAGAGAAGAAGATTTTCAAAGAATCAATGCATTTTCACTATATAATCTATAGAGCCCCGCCCTAACACCAGAACCCCTGACCCTGGGGCCATGAAATTCACAATTTTTGAAAAGGCATCCTTATGCATCATAACCATGCACTTAGTTTGTTTAAATAATCTCCAGTAGCAGAGAAGAAGATTCTCAAAGAATCAATGCATTTTCACTATATAATCAATAGAGCCCCGCCCTAACACCAGAACCCCTGACCCTGGGGCCAAGAAATTCACGATTTTTGAAAAGGCATCCTTATGCATCATAACCATGTACTTAGTTTGTTTAAATAATACCCAGGAGCAGAGAAGAAGATTTTTAAAGAATTAAAGCATTTTCACTATATAATAAATAGAGCCCTGCCCTAACACCAGAACCCCTGTCCCAGGGGCCATGGCTTTCACAATTCTGGAAGAGGCCCACCTTCTCATCTTAACTATGTACTTAGTTTATCACCTTAATGCCCAGGAGCAGAGGAGAAGATTTTCAAAGAATTAATGCATTGTCACCATATAGTCGATAGAGCCCCGCCCTAACACCAGAACCCCTGACCCTGGGGCCATGAAATTCACAATTTTGGAAGAGGTACTCTTGCTCATCATAACTATGTACTTAGTTACTTTATTTAATATCCAGAAGCAGAGAAGAAGATTTTCAAAGAATTAACTATATAATCTATAGAGCCCCGCCCTAACACCACAACCCCTGACCCTGGGGCCATGAAATTCACAATTTTGGAAGAGGCACTCTTGCTCATCATAACTATGTACTTAGTAACTTTATTTAATACCCAGGAGCAGAGAAGAAGATTTTCAAAGAAATAATGCACTTTCACTATATGATCTATATAGCCCCACCCTGGGGCCAGAACCCCTGACCCTGGGGCCATGAATTTCACAATTTTGGTAGAGGGCTCCATGCTTATTACAATGATGCCAACAGTTTGACTGCTTGATGTCCAGGAGTAAAGAAGAAGATTTTTAAAGATTGCATTAATTTTGGTGGTTTTAGCCCCACCCCTCAGGCCCCAGGGGGGCAGGGATCATGAAATTCATAATTTATGTTCCCCTTCACCCATAGATGCTATATACCAAATTTGGTTGAAATTGGTTGAGCGGTTTTAGAGAAGAAGTTAAAAATGTTCAAAAGTTAACGCACGACGGACGACGCACGACGCACGGACGAAAACAGATAGCAATAGGTCACCTGAGTGACTCAGGTGACCTAAAAAAAATATCGTCTTTAAAACAAGTTTGGATATATGATCGGTTTTATCACTAAAGGCCTTATAGGTCATTTAGCCTGAGAATTTCGACATTATTATTTGGAAAAGTCCACTTCGTCATGATCAGCACCTGAAAATTTAGTGAAATTAGTTTGCGAGTCATTGTAATAAATAAATGCATTACATCATTCTTGATGGTAAAGATGTTTATTTACATAAATTATAAGCCAAATCTACCATTTAAAAAAAATAATTGATTACCTATCCCCTGTGGCGATTTCTTTTTCCACATTTTGCTCAGGATTGGCCACTTTATCATTGATTTCGTACTCTGTTACCGGGTCGACTGGCGGTAGGCGAGCACCACAGAACCTGTCTGCGATCACTGCTCCCATGACAACAGAAGTAGCATTATTGGTTGATCTTATCCTGTCACTAAATAAATATCAAAAGAAATACATGTATTTTCATGTACCAAAGAGTGAGTTAAGTGGCTTCGTATCTGTCACCAATATTTCACAATTACACCTGTATGGAAATTAAAAATATGATATTGATTCTGCATCTATATAAAAATTCACGAAGAACGAATTCTCATGAATACTTTGGTGGTCAAGATTCACCTGTAGAATTATTCCCAAGTACACTGGAGTAATTTGTTATGAACACTTTAATATGCACGTCGCAAATATAAAGAAACAGAATAAAAATTTTCACAAAGCCATTTCTCATAAAACAAATTAACATTTCATTCTTTAAAAAATGCTTAGAAAAATCTAAATTAGTAATTTATAAAATAGCTGTTAGGTCAGATAATACATTAATTCGTTGAATACATTGTATGATACAAATCGGCCTAACTTTTCATATTTTTCGGCAACTTTGTTGATAATCAAAGTACTGAAAGTACTGAATGACGGAGGCATGAATACGACAATTTACGTAAAAAAAACCCGGTGAATTGCAAATACAGGTTGTTGAGAATAATAGGTTATTCACGTTAATTCCGCATGAAAACTAGAAGCATAACTTTAAAAAATGCAGATACTTGTGTGGCTATTTTTAAGTACAGTGTTAAGGAAGCTCTAAACACATACTGCACATGCACTAAAGAGTTCAACTCGTAGGAGTTTTATGCAGTTAGAGTGATCTGCCCTTAGAAGTAAGATAGAAAAAATGATCATTTGCTGTTAATTATACAATTTGTAATAGATTAAAATATTCTTAACCATATATTACACCAAGAATAAGTAATTGAATTCATTATTTCCATTAATTTTCCCAATGTAAGTAAACAACAGTGATTTCTGTTCACAAATAGCGATGGCGTGTTTATATGAGCGTGACGGTGTGTTGTGTAAAGTTGCGTTAGCGTGACGGTGTGTTGTGTGTTAGCGCGACAACTTGTTATAAACAACGTGTCGGGGCATTTTCACTTTGCGCTAGCGCGTTGTCACTTACAAAAGTGCAACAATGCGTTAGAAACAATTGCACGTTGTGAACTACGTGCTAGCCCGTTGTCACCTATGCTAGCGCGTTGTCACTTTGCGTTTTCGCGTTATTCCTTACGCGTTTTTACACTTTTGCAAATGGCCCTATCAGGACACCATAGAAAACGCTGATTTACACATATCTTGGCCTTATAGCGAACATAAGATTGATACTTAATGATTAATAATCACTTTTGTGATTGATTTGTTAATTTGCAATGAACAGTGCAAAAATATTATTGATAGTTCGTCAATTACTTTACCAAAACTGTATAATGTAAAAAAAAAGGGGGGGTCATCAAAAGCCACAATAGAAACTATAGCAGGGTTCCCCATCATTTTAAATTTTACGGTGTTGCAGATTTTCCGCAAAGCACTCATATTAGCGATATTTTCGCGATCAAATTTATCCACTATTTATTATAATTACAAAAGCAGATATACACACACAACTTTTTGAATCACCAATTCGTTACACAAATGTTGTGGTCGTACATATTAATGAAAAATAAATAAATCGATATTGAAAACAATTAGAATGTCTCCTGTATATCATAATGTTCATACTAACACCAACCAACTTCAACTCCCCACTCCCACCCCCTCCAACACACAACTTAAATAAGTACAATTAAAAAAAATATTTTACATACTTGTATCACTATGTACAAGGTGTACCTGTATTAAACCTTAACTTGATATTTTTGTATATAACTTTCTTACATGTGCACTGAAGAGAATGCAGTCGAAATTCTGGTTAATACAACAGAACTACTTAGCATCTTTAAAAGTAAATTTTGCCGTATTTTTGGTCACTTGATCGAATTACCAGTAAGTTTTTGAATTTCAAAAAGAAACTTTAGAATAGTAAAATACTTTCAGGGGGTGTCTTTAAATTCTTCAACAATACATTTACATCAATTTAATGATTATGGCTCGATGTTTGACTCACAATGCCAACAAAATTCTAGAGACGTGGTTCTGAAGTAAAGACAATTATTCAAATAATTTTTAAATGTTTAAATAATACAGTCAAACCTCGCTATCTCGAATTATGTATTTAAAAATTCAACTAGTAAATATAATACGGTTACATTGAACTGTGAAAACAAGTTATTTGTCTTTGTTCCTTCTTGCGTAAAGTCCAGCGAGGGTTTAGGAGATAATTGATACTGCAAGGTGAAGCAAGACAATGTGCCCTAATCTAAGAGAAAATTAAGTGCTCTGGCTATAAAAATTGAAAGACGATAGATTTGTTTGATTAACGTTTCAGAGATAATTTATGTTCTGATTTTCTGATTACGGATCTTACTGTGTCGCTTTTTTTCTGTGTCGCACGCATAAATTTGAATCGTTAGGCCTACCGAGTCGGGAAAACCCTGCTATAGTGCAGATTGCTAAAAACGAGTTTACGAAAGTCTGTTGAAGTTTCTCCACAGTACGACAAAATTGTAATTTAATGATACGGATACCTACGATACATTTATCTAAATATTGTCAAGTATACTATGACAGCTTATCGTGATCATAAAATTTTCCTGATACATGTAATCTGATGAGTTTCAAGGGATTGTGTGAATTTCTTACACTGCGTTCTTCGAAAGTAAAAGTTATAATAAGGCTCATTTCAAAAAGTATTGTTCATACCTTCTAATTGTACCATAGAAATAAGAATACTAAAATTACACTGGATGTGTGAATCAACAACATGAAGTGATTCAACTGAATCTACTAAGAATAAAAAAAAACATTCTATTAAACATATATGCTGTAACTAGCAATTAAATGTGTTCTCGATAGAGTGGACGTCCAGCATTATAAAATTATGTATTAATTAGACGTACTTCATAAGGTCAGTATATAATTCTATTTATTTGAAATATTAATTGTCACAGATGAATAGTTGAAAAAAATACTGTCTTGATCATGTCAGCAAAACCAGTTTAGCCCCCAGTATAATAATAGAAAATGCTAAATAAACCAAATTTTAAAAAAAATTGGTGTTGCTCTGTTTATGACCTGCTTAAAATATACGACCTCATGCTGATTCTCACTGAGACAGATGATATAATGGTCATTCTCATAGCTATTATAGTTAAGATTTGCATTACTATGTATGTCAAACTGGTTTGTGAAAAGATTTACATGTATATGTATATGTTCAATATTTAAAAAAAAAAAATTTCCATCTTATTTCTTTATTATTTACATTATCAAAACTCATTAAAGATAATCTGTATTTATTTAAATTTGTGAATTCCTATTTTCAAAACATACTTCACAATAATGTGAACATGTGTTGTTGTTTACAATTCAACCAAAGTTATCGTTCTTGCGCAAGGTTCGTCTGAAAGAAGAAATTAGTTTCCCATACCGAGTTCAAAGATACATTTTGTAGTTTCTCTTTATAAAACGTTTTGTGTATTTAAAATATTTAAGACATGTTTAATCAGAATATCATATCGTTTTGCTGTATCTAACCCTCATTATTATCGGTCTCCTGTAGGTTTCAATTACGTGTAGGTCGTCAATTAGGCCGCGCCTTTCAAAGATTTGCCGCTAGATGGCGATCACAAATTCCCATCCGTCGCAGATTTGCGTTAGCAAAGGACGCGAGACTCTATAAGCCTCCGTCCAAAAAGTGGGCACAGGCGTGGAACGGTCTCAGAATCGACGTTATATGCATGACATTTGATGATAATTAAATAGCAACTCAAAACAGATAGTAACCTTCATCTGGTACGTAAGAAGTACAGAAAGGTCTGTCGCTCCACACGAGAGAGCGAGGAACACAAAACCCTTTTACCTCCATGTCACCCTTGCTTTCTTCATTCTCTAGAAATTTGTCCCGTTTGCTCCCACGTTTTCAACCTCAATCCTCACTTTCTTACTCTGGCTCTAGCTCTGTCGCTAGAGGCCGCCAGATTTTCGCTCGACGTTGTGCATGTTGTGTACTAGCTGTTTCGGGAAGGGGGGGGGGGGGGGCACGGGGCTTATGGAGGTCACCTCTAACGTTTCTGCGGAACGAAATTATTGCCTGGAGACACATTTGTAAAGTCTGATTTAAAAATTTTAGATGTTTTATCACTGCCATATTTTAAAAAAATTTAAGAAAAAACTTGTTTGGAGAGGGGCGGGGGAAATTACTTTTTTAATAAAAATCTTGATTCAAATTTAATAACAATAACGATTAACTTTCAAAATTCTGTGACGCAATCCCAAACTTGCGTTGTACACCTCACAACTCGCCGTTCTGTTTAGAATCAATGTCTTTTCCTACAAAACTTTTGTTTTCATAAAGATACTTGTTTCAAAATCACAATCATTCAGCTCTACATTTAGATAAATCAGTTAAAATTCCATGATTCGGGGCATTGGTGTGAAAAAAGTGTATTTATATATACATGTAAGTGTATCTATTGCCAAAGCTCAAGCAAAGTTGCCCATGCTGGCAAGGACTGTATTTTCTGGTGAAGAACGAAGAAAAGGCCCCAATTTTCATTGTCAATAATATTAATATTATTACAAGATCTTCATTACATCCCATTTCTGCAACTGTACAAAAGTAAAAACTTACCCGCGTGAATTTCGCCAGAATGCATGATATGAAATTCATGTGAATATGTGCGAAACTTTTTAAGCCTGAAAGTCACGTGAGACACATATGACTGTGTACATTCAGAATTTGCTCAAGCACAGAAAATCATTTCAAATTTGTTTGTAAAATTTCTTACGATACTTACTCATACCATTCCAGCGCCATCAACAAGCCAATGTTTGTGACGTCCATATTGAGGGATGATAAGATAATCAACACCGTGACAATGCCCGCCGAGGGAATTGACGGAATGGCGAGGGAGCTAACCGTAGTCAACAACCTGTAATAGTAAGCAATAGTACAATCTCCGTGTCAGAGATCTGCAAAACAAACTTATCCTATAAAAGACATTGAACTGGATCGCTAAGCAGACTTACCCCATTCAAGTGACCAAACAGACCTCTCAGTTTAAGTAAAAAAGTTTGTTTTTTTTTTTTTTTTTTTTTTTTTTTTTTTTTTTTTTGCTGCCAATTACAAGCTTGTTCTCAGAAATCTGATAAAATGATTTCCTTATAAATATGCGAAATATAAGACACTAACAGTCTGAATGGGTCTGCATTGAGTAGGCGTAACAAACCTACCAGACTAGTACGATCGTAGGAGCGCTTGGCGTAAGTCCTTCTAAATTCATCAAGAATAGAGAAGACAGAGAAATAAACTGGGTACTTCCTGCACGTGTGAGTGCAACTCCTAGTGGCACGGTGTAGCGCGAGATTCTCTTATCCACATGGAGCTTAGTTTCCACTACTTTCAACAGTTCTGGCATTCCAATTGCTCTGTCGATGGAATATTACAAATTTATGACTTTCTGTATATTGATTGTGTAAATCTTCCATGAATGTGTGTATGCATATCTTAAAATAATGTTTAGAACCACTCCAATCACTTTTACTCAAAAATGAATTAACTACGTATCTTGACTATTTTCTGCCCAAATGCAGATTTTAGAGACAATTATGACGATTTCATTCTTTGAGATTTCTTTATCAGAGTTTTATATCTAGCAAATTAAGAGACATAAGAATACGAAGAACGAAAAGATATGAGTACAAACTAACGAGCTTGCTACAGCAAACACGGTCATCCATGCTCTTAGTGACACAGCGATGTAATACAGCGGGTTCTTCCTCGTGGCAATGAAGTAGAGCAGAGGTATAACACCGAGGAGGTGTAATCCCATTCCAATGGACAGGGCCAGTACATACATCCCAAGGCTGTTAAAAACTGTCTCCAGGTTGGACACTTTCAAGATGGCGGACGCAATAAGACTGGTCACTCCAATCGGTGTTAACCTAAAGAACAGGACAAAAACGTAAGTAAGCAACATGGCGTAATAATATTAGTAAAGCATGTCTATATATCCTTTCTTTTAGGATAAAACATACATAATAATCCAGTTCAAAGCCATGATGACGAGATGGGAGACAGCGTAGAAAAAATCCAGGAAAGGTTTGACAATGTTCCTAAGTTTGCTGGCGGCGATTCCGAATAAAGTAGAAACAACAATGAGACCTGTAATGGTGGTATTTTTTCATAGAAGATTTTACTCTTAAGACTTAATTACCATGTAGGCCATGGAAACAACACTCATAATACAATACCCTAAACTTTGACACATTCAACCTAATATATTGACTCCAGCAGCTGTGGTTATTTCTTTTCTCTTGGTAGTGGTGGTCACGTTAAGCTCTGTCTTCGTCTTTGTTATATACGTCATCGTTTGTGTCTGTGAATAAACATAATATAACTTTAATGATTTCATACAAATTATCTGAATAGTTAACTTTCTGTTTTAAAGCATCAAGGAGAAAAATTTAGTAAGTTCATGGCTCGTAACTGGATTTTGAACAGCAAGTATTTTTAAGAAATAAATGTGTTAGATGGCACATATCATGTATATCATGTATACTTTTACCTTCTGGAAGCATGCTGTTATCATGTTTTCCGGGAAAAGATTTCTGGAAGTGAAATAAAGTCATTCTATTTGTCTTTGGTACATGAATTTTTTTTTTTCATTCTGGCGCGCTTTCATTTCTTAAACTCTCGTGTATCCAAAAAAAAAATAAAACTTACAAATTTTTTTTCGAATGGCAATATTTGCAAACTATTTTCAAAAAAATGATATTAAGATATACACTGTATCTACAATCTTCTCTGTTTTTCGGCTCTGTTATTTGAGAATGTGATTCACATCCATTTTCATGGGAAAAAACCAATGCCACTTTATTTAAAAAAATAAAATAAAACTAGTAGACTAATTGTTCTTGAACAATTAGAGGTCTTTCCACCTTCTTCAAACTTCATATATTCTTCACATTTAACTCTCTACTGTTTATTTTTTTACAAAAGAAACCAGAAATGGCTTGAGAGATGGAAAAAATGAATATTTTAAAAATTTTGAAATGACCTTGACTTCTGACCTTGAACAAATATTCAAGGTCAAAGGTCAAGGGTCACATTGCAATTAACCCCATGCTTCTATGACTTTTAATTTTAAAGTTATAAGGTTTACATGTAAGCGCAAAGACGTTAAAGGGCGATAACTCATATAAGGGGTCACCGGATACTTTCGCGCTGAATAGGTTGAAGTTGTGTTTAAAGACCCTGAATACATTAGTGAAGGTTTCATGTCTCTGCGGTTTACGGTTTCAGAGGAGTAGTGATAACAAGGTTTTTCGCACAAGGGGCAATAACTTTTAAAATGGTTAAGCTTAGGGGACAAGATTGAAATCTTTGAAATAGTTTTAAAAGTACATATTAAAGATGTTAAGATATACTGTATATGTTGAAAGACAAAAGAGCTATAAAAAGAGCTTTATTTCTCATATTTGGAATGACCTTGACCTCTGACCTTGACATAAACTTCAAGGTCTAAGGTCAAAGAATCTAATGCAGTTTGTTTCATGTCTCTACGGCTTATCGTTTTGAAAATTTTTCATTATTTGTAAACATCAAAAAATTTCAGGGGCAATAACTCATAAAAGGGGTTGATAAATACTTTCGCAATGAAAAGATTGAAGAGTCCCCTCAATTAGTCGAATACATTGGTGAAGGTTTCGTACCTCTACGGTTTACGGTTTTGAAGGAGTAGCGATAACAAGCTTATATTGCGAAAGGGGTAATAACTCTTTGAGGGGTCAAAGTTCATATACGCAGGGTCAACTGCAAAAATCTTTTACGGAGTACATTCTTATGGACTATCAATCTTTTCGATATATCTTGAAACTCAAAATCACACGGCGGAAAAATAATAAAAAACTAGTAGACTAATTGTTCTCGAACAATTAGAGGTCTTTCCACCTTCTTTAAATTTCATATATTCTTCACATTTAACTCTCTACTTCTTATTTTTATATAAAAGAAACCAGAAATGGCTTGAGAGATGGAAGAAATGAAAATTTTAAAATTTTTGAAACGACCTTGACCTTTGACTTGAACAAATATTCAAGGTCAAAGGTCAAGGGTCACTTTGCAATTAACCCCATGCTTCTACGACTTTAAGTTTTAAAGTTATAAGGTTTACTAGTAAGCGCAAAGACGTTAAAGGGCAATAACTCATATAAGGGGTCACCGGATACTTTCGCACTGATAGACTGAAGTTGTGTCTAAAGACCCTGAAAACATTAGTGAAAGTTTCATGTCTCTGCGGTTTACGGTTTCGGAGGAGTAGCGATAACAAGGTTTTTCGCACAAGGGGCAATAACTTTTAAAATGGTTAAGCTTAGGGGACAAGATTGAAATCTTTGAAATAGTTTTAAAAGTACATATAAAAGATGCAAAGATATACTGTATATGTTGAAAGACAAAAAAGCTCTAAAAAGAGCTTAATTTCTCATATTTGGAGTGACCTTGACCTTTGACCTTGACATAATCTTCAAGGTCTAGGGTTAAGGAATCTAATGCAGTTGGTTTCATGTCTCTACGACTTATCGTTTTGAAAATTTTTCATTATTTGTAAACTTCAAAAACTTTCAGGGGCAATAACTCATAAAAGGGCTCAACAAATCCTTTCGTAATGAATAGATTGAAGAGTCTTCTCAATTAGTCGAAGACATTGGTGAAGGTTTCGTAACTCTACGGTTTACGGTTTCGGAGGAGTAGCGATAACAAGGTTTCTAGTGAAAGGGGCAATAACTGCGAAAGGGGTCATAAGTTATACGCGTTGGGTCAAATTTGTTCATAACTTTTTATGACCTTTACGATGAACAAAAAGTTTTTTTGATAAATGTCGAAACAAAAAATCAGCGGAAGAAAAATAATAATAAGAAGAATAAGAAGAAGAAGAATAATAATAATAAACAGAAGAAAATCAATAGGTCTTTCCACAGAAAGGTGGAAAGACCTAATAATCATAAACAGAAGAAAATCAATAGGACTTTCCACAGAAAGGTGGAAAGCCCTAATAATATGTGTCGAAAGATGAAAGAGACATAAAAAGTTCATGTTTTAAATGACCTTGACCTTTGACCTTGACTTAAATTTCAAGGTCAAAGTTTCTAAAGTAGTCGAAGACACTGTTGAAGGTTTCGCATCTCTACGGTCAATGGTTTCTGAGGAGAAGCGATAACAAGGTTTTTCGCACAAGGGCAAGAACTGTTTAACCCGTCAGGCTCTACAGGTTAAAAAGAGAAATTTGAAAACAGTTTTATAAGGACATTTGATATATTTGATGTTATGTGATATATGTTGTAAGACAAAAGAGATATAAAAGAAGCTATAATTCTCATATTCAGAGTGACCTTGACCTTTGACCTTGAACAAATTTTGAAGGTCAAACGATGAAAAGTCCAATGCAGTTGGTTTCGTGTCTCTACGATTAATCGTTTTAATTTTTTTCATCATACGTAAAGAACAAAAACTTTCAGGGGGCAATAACTCATCAAAGTGCTCGATCTATCATTTCGCAATGAAAGATTGAAAAGTCTTCTCAAGTAGTCGAAGACATCGGTGAAGGTTTCCTAACTCTACGGTTTACGGTTTCGGAGGAGTAGCGATAACAAGCTTTTATTGCGAAAGGGTTCATAACACTTTGAGGGGTCAAAGTTCATATACGCAGGGTCAACTGCAAAAATCTTTTACGGAGTACATTCTTATGAAGTATAAATCTTTTCGATAGATCTTGAAACTCAAAATCACACGGCGGAAAAATAATAAAAAATAATAATAACTAGTAGACTAATTGTTCTCGAACAATTAGAGGTCTTTCCACCTTCTTTAAATTTCATATATTTTTCATATTTTACTCTCTAAAGTTAATTATTATACAATTAGAATCCAGAAATGGCTTGAAAGATAGAAAAAATGAAAATTTTAAAATTTTGAAATGACCTTGACCTTTGACCTTGAACAAATATTCAAGGTCATAGGTCAAGGGTCACACTGCACTTGACCCCATGCTTCTACGACTTTTAGTTTTAAAGTTATATGGGTTTAATAGTTATCACAAAGACGTTAAGGGGTGATAACTCATATAAGGGGTCATCGGATACTTTCGCACTGAATAGATTGAAGTTGTGTCAAAAGACCCTGAAGACATTAGTGAAGGTTTTGTGTCTGTACGGTTTACGGTTTCAGAGGAGTAACGATAACAAGGTTTTCAGTAAAAGGGGCAATAACTTTTAAAGGGGTAAATCTTAGGGGACAAGTATGAAATCTTTGAAATAGTTTTAAGAGGACATATTAATGATGCAAAGATATTTAGTATATGTTGAAAGACAAAAGAGATATAAAAAGAGCTTAATTTCTCATATTTTGAATGACCTTGACCTTTGACCTTTGCATATATTTTAAGGTCAAAGGTCAATGAATCTTATGCAGTTGGTCCCATGTCTCTACGACTTTTTGTTTTAAATTTTTAAATTATTTCTAAAAATCAAAAACTTGGAGGGGCAATAACTCCTTGAAGGGGTCCATGAATACTTTCGCAATGAATAGATTGAAGACTCCCCTCAATTAGTCGAAGACATTGGTGAAGATTTTGTACCTCTACGGTTTACAGTTTCGAAGGAGTAGCGATAACAAGCTATTCTTGCGAAAGGGGATGTAACTCCTCGAGGGGTCAAAGTTGATATACGCAGGGTCAACTGCAAAAATCTTTTACGGAGTACATTCTTATGAACGATAAATCTTTTCGATAGATCTTGAAACTCAAAATCACACGGCGGAAAAATAATAAAAAATAATAATAAGAAGAAACAGAAGAATATCAATAGGTCTTTCCACAGAAAGGTGGAAAGACCTAATAAGAAACAGAAGAAAATCAATAGGTCTTTCCACAGAAAGGTGGAAAGACCTAATAAAATCCAGAGACTCATTATAGATTTCTTAATTATGAATTTTGGTTTATTTATTCTTCTTATCACATATGACATTGTAAAATTTTGTAATTCTGTGTTTTATGCCACACTAGCACTTTTCCAGACCTGATCATATCAGCAAACATATCACTTGTTTCCACTTTCGTTGTAGTGAATGATACTGCTCTCTCCATAGAAATGTCATTCGTAATTCCCTCGCCTGTTTATAGAAAAATCGTGACTGAATATAATAAAACTTCATGTGTAATGGGTACTTATGAAATTACATGCATAGTTTAGCTATAATTACACTACAGATAAGCTCTAGAACAAAACATCATAACTAATCGGGAAAAATTCTACTTTCGGATAAAATTAAAATTTATATTATGACCAAAGGAACTTGTAAAAATATTCTAAGAGATACTTTATATACTAGTAAACACTACAATGGGAACCCTCCATGGAGAACTGGAAAAGCAGGATTATTTATCAGGAGATGGCCAAGGCAACTTTAACCGTACATAAAATGAAATCACGCTGACTATCTCCAGCAAAGCATATAAAACACACCAGAAAGTGCATGAAACTTATAACAAATGATAATAAATTAACATAATAGTGATCATATATTATTTATCAATATGAAATAGCTGAGGATAACGAACTCAAAAAACCTACAAACAATACAAATCTATGAACAAGGCATAAACACGGATCCTCGGGAATTCAAAGGTGGGTCAAGTGGCAAGGAGAGGTAAACACTCCCTGTCGACTGGACACACCCGCCGTGAGCCCTATGTATTGTAGACGGAATAATTCGTATAGACAAAAGCCTAACAAATGGTATGAAATATGTCAATCAAAATAGGACCCAATGATAGGTTGTACTTACTAATACGGTTATTATAACGACCATAAATTTACAAAATGCTTACTTTAAACGATGTTATTGAAATCCCTGTAACATCAACTTATTTGTTAGTAGCCTGCCTCGGTTTAAAAATGTATCGTACTCAGAGCATGCTTTTGAGTATCTAATAATTTTGGAGACATAAACATCATATGTAGGTGATGTTGTTATATTACTACATAAATAAGGAGAGATGACGATGGAAAAGCTGAAGTCATCTCGTCTGTCATACAGTTTAGTTGTTAGTTGGCCCTTATTGTCTGTAGTCAGTAAAATATCCAAATATAAAAAAGATGTGGCAGTTTCTATGATATCGTTTATTTCGAGTTCCTCCTGATATATCGAGTCGACATATGAATGTAAATAACTATTGTTAATTGATAAAACATCTGTTGGTACATCTAAATGTCGAGTTGAAGGGCCACATCAAGTGGTTTCTCTTCTCATGTAGAAGTTTCTGAACAAATTTTGCTTCATAGGAATTTTAAAAACAGGTCGTCTTATAAAGGAGCACAATTAGTACCCAGCGGAATTCCAATAGGTTGTTGGAAGACCTGGTCTCCAAAGACTACATAGATGTTGTCAATGAGGAACTCCAGTAACCTTATATTATCAAACTCAGAGTACTTATGTGTAGAGATCAGAGGGATATACCTTTACTTTTAATTTTTACAGATGACCAATCACGACATAATGAAATATCTGACTTCCACTTTCATTGAAGAGAACTTTGTCTATGATACCGTCTACCTGATCAATACGTAGGGCTCACGGCGGATGTGACAGGTCGATAGGGAATGCCTACACCTCTCCGGCACTTGATCCCAACTCTTGAATTTCCGGAGGTCCGTGTTTTCTGCCTTATTCACAGATAAGTACAGTTCGTAGTTGTTTTTTTTTTTTTTTTTTTTGTTTTTTTGTTTTTTTTTTTTTTTTTGGTAGGTTTCTAGAGTTTCATCACCGTTCGTAATCTTCACCTATTTCATTATGATATGGCTATGCTGTTATAAATACACCACTCTAAATTTTTATATCGAAAAAACCATATATCTTGGTATTCAAATCAAGTAATCATGATTACTAAATAATTCTCAAGATATGCTAGTATTTAGTACAGCATTACTTCGTATTTGCAATGATTTTAACAAATAAGAAACTAACCTGGTTTGAATATAAAGTACATTATAATTCCAAGAATGGCACCAAAAGCGTTAATGATAAGTATGTAGGCGAAGGTTATACTGGTGATACGCCCGTTAGACTTGGGGTCAATGGTGGCAGTACCTGAAAGGATAATGACATTCTTCTTATTGAATTTGAAATGCAAAGTGCACGTAATTTGTTCATATCAGTTATATTTATTTTTATATATGTATATATTTCTGTCTGCGCGAATGCTCTGCTTCTTTAAAATTCCAAGATTTTCAAAAGAATAACTGCGTTGCAGTCTTTAAGCTGAATCGCAAATAAAATACAATAACTAAAAATGCATTCAAGATGCAAGCTTTTCACTCTGTGTTAAGATTACCTGTAATTATAGTGGACACGATTAGAGGAAGAATGGTCATCTTTAACAGCCTCATGTACACTTCACCTGGCAGCCCTGATTAATGAAATCTCCTTGATTAATGGTTTTATCTATAATATTATACCTAGTGTTACATTAACATTAAATTTTTTTTTAAAAATTTAGATATAAAGAACTCTATAACATTTTCAGAGAAGTTTTCACATGAAAGAATATGGGGGATAAGTCTTAGAAAATGCTTATAACTTCAATTGCAAAAAAAAATGAATTTATTTCTTAATGCAGTGTTTTAATCAATAATAAAGGGATAATATACAATAAGCACCCTTTAAAAGTAATATACTAGTATAGTACTTAAAGATTGTCCCACTTAAAATCCACCATGCATTTTCGATGCCTTTACTGTCTTCACTTACATGTTTACTTTGTATAGTTACACTGTAGTAAGTTTATTTTATAATGATAGTGAATTCATTTTATATAAATAATATGTTTATTTTTTTTTTAATAAATATTATGTTAATTTTGTATTGATAATATGTTGATATTGTACATTTAATATGTTTATTATTTTTATAGATACACGTAATATATTTATTTGTTTAGATAGAAAGTTAATTTGTATGTAGATAGTATGCTTATTTTGGATATAACGTATGTTTATTTTTAGTGGATATACATGTAGTATGCTTATTTTCATACACAATATCTTTATTTTGTTTAGATAGTAACTCTATTTTTTTTTTTTATAAATAGTATGTTTATTTTGTATAGATAGTAAGTTTAAGACCTACGCACGCTAACTTTCGATTCCCGCCTACATTTTATACCCATATAATTCAAAACTTATGACAATTTGACCGTAAAATCTTTGTTGAATGCAAAGAACAGTTCAATGGTAATTGACTGATAATTTTAATGCCAGTGTTAAATAGTTAATTATTCCTAATTCCAGCTCTTAAAATAAGGGGGGTAGACGATGTTTTCCATTGAAATCGGGCTTTAAAGCATCAACACATTTTAAAATATTTTTGGATATGAATAAATGTTCCTAAAATCTTTTCTTATGTTTTACGCATATAAAATTAAACATATATTATTTAAAAAATACAATATTTCAGTTGTAAAACCCTTTGAAATTGGTGAAAAAATAAGCATTTTTGTAGTTTTTTATCTGTAAACATACGTCCCCCCCCCCCCCCCCGTGAAACACAAAAAGCTTTGGTATGAATTTGTAAAATGACAGTCCATATTACGTGTTAAAAGGAATTTTTGTTTCACGGGGGGGGGGGGGAGGGATGTTTTAAAAATATTTTCCGTTTTCCGATGATTTCTATTGTGAAAAGCACAAGTTTTACCCAAATTATAGAGTTACCTCTCTTTGTTTTCCCAAAGAAGTAATGTTTTATGAAAATTCATATAAATATTTATATAAATATGAAAAATCATCAAAATATATTAGCTTTTGAAAATCGACTTGGAGGTAGGCGGGAGAACAATGCTATCGTTCTTTGTATAGATAGTATATTCATTTTGTATTGATAATATGTTTGTTTATCTTTTATAAATATTATGTTTATTTTATGTTATATTATTTTATGTGGATAATATTTTTATTTTGTATATATATATATATATATATATATATATATATATATATATATATATATATATATATATATATATATATATAGTATGTTAATTTGTATAGATAGTATGTTTATTTGTACAGATAGTACAATTGTATGCTTATTTGTATAGATAATAAGATAATTTGCATAGATAGTTGTGTTTATTTTGTATAAATTGTATTTTGATTTTGTAAAGGCAATTTATTTTGCATAGTTAAGTTTTTTTAACATAGATACAGTACCAACCAGACCCAACCTGACACCTAAGCATTCTCAGAAAGCAGTCCCCGGGACTGCTCTGGGACCGCTGTGGGACTGCTCTTGGACTGCTGTGGGACTGCTCTGGGGACTGCTCTAGAAAGCAGACCCAGCAGTCCCTGGGACTGCTTCCTGGGACTGCTTTGTTCACTCATGCATGAAAAAGGTTCTGAGTGACATGATAGCTCCGCCCCTTGTGTATTCTGAATTTGCAGCTCCCTGTTGTTGTTTTGTTTACTTTCAGCAGAGAGGTGTTTAAGATAAAGATTTAAAAAAAAACCAAGGATTTTTTACAACATTATAATAAGTAGAGATAGATATACATGTAATTACTAAATGTCTTCAGGGGCTGTAAATTTACACAATTGTAGTCTAGAATTAATTTTAAAAAATGAAAGTAGTTAAAAGGGAAGTCAGGAGATGACTTTTATCCTTTAAATTAAACTTTAATACAGGTGTTTGAAAAATATATATATATATATCTAGGCCTATTTAATTAATTAATGCTAATTAAAACTTTAATACAGGTGATTGAAAAAAAAATATCGAGGCCTATTTAATTAATTAATGCTGTCAAGTTACGGAATGTACTCAAAGTTTGCATTAGCACTATTTAAAAACAAACAAACAAATAAAAAAAACTTGTCATTATATTTGTGAACAATTATTGGGGGATTTATTTATGAATTTGTTTTTGATTTATAAACAAGTAATTAAAAGAGTAAATTTATAAACATTTTAAAATATTGGGAATTGTGACTTATTTCTTATTTGTTTTGTGTGTGTTTTCCTGGCCGATTAATAAAAAGCAATACAAATGTATAAAATGGTGTCAACACCTGAAGTCGGACATGATTAAAAGAAAGTCAATGCATGTTATTTGGGTATCAGTGTTACACATCACTGAACATGCTGGTCAACAATGACACTAATTTCAATCTATGTACTGCAAAAAATCTTCGTTTCAATAAATGTGTATAAATTTATTTCGGGATTAATTAATTTTGAACATAATCTGAGGGTTTCATTCGCGTGATTTACAGATGTTCACTCAAACTTTTATATAATAAAAGTATTATTGTTTTCTGTTACATAGATAATTTTAACGATAATTAAATTGGCAAGTCAGTGAAAATAATCATGACTGAAATATAATACGCAAAGAATTTTTCAAAAGCTCCAGTACTTAAGAAAACTGCATTCAGAGTATAGTATGGAAATCGGCCTTGCTCTATAATTATAAGGCCTATTTAAAGCTAGTTTTGATAGAAAATAAATAACTCAAGCTTAATTATCTATTAAAAAAATAAAAAATAAATAAATGTGGAAACCAATATCAATCACAGTAATTTAGAAATTGATTTATTTTGTTGAAAAATTAATATACCACAATAAAAAATTTTTGGTAAAAAATTAATATACCACAAAACTGTGTTTAAATATTCATGTTATTTATAGGTGTGAACGTCTTCTTTGTTCAATATTAATTATTTGTTTCTATACGCGTAGTGCGATTTTCTTAACAGTTAAAAAATGACTGTCGCATGAGAATTGATACTGCTCAGAAAGAAATGGATCATCAATTTCAACTGCCTTTTATAGTTACATTGTTTATTGGTAATCTCATTTCTGAGTAAGCTCCGCCCATTAAATTAATTAACCCCGCCCACTGGGACTGCTGGGACTGCTTTCTGGGACTGCTGGGACTGCTCTGGGACCGCTGTGGGACTGCTCTGGGACTGCTTTAGCAGTCCCAGAGCAGTCCCAGAAAGCAAGGACTGCTCTGGGACTGCTTTGTGTCAGGTTGGGTCTGGTTGGTACTGTAACTAGCATGGTTGTATATTTTGGTGAACATTAACCTAGAAGCCTCCTCCGTTATCTGTAATTGAACACGACTCCAATTCAAAAATTTTAACTTAGGATTGCATGCCAAGAAAATTGTATTTTACATTATGAACACATATTAAGCATTGAAATCCATCAAACAACAAAAACAGTTGAGAATATGATATGTTAGACACGATAATAATAAACAAGTTATAAATGCCAAATTCATCAAAAGTGTCCCTTATAATGTTATTAAGACCACGGAACATTAACTGGCAAAATTGGAAATATGCAGCGTACGTCATTTCATCTGTTACAGTAAAAACATTTAATGATAGACAATGAAATGGGCGGGTACAATTCGACACGGACGTCCGAGAAAACTTTGGATTGAAATTTTAGTTTGAAGTTCATTTTCAATCCACCTGAGCTGTTTTCAAACCTAAAGTGTGAATGTATGATCCAAAAGACAAATAATTTCAATTCCCAAATATATGTTGTTTGAAATTCATATTTATGTGAGTTTTTTAGCCTATAATTTTAAGGACACGTAAAAGTATATGCGTAGAAGGCAGTGGTTATTTTTTCAGGGGACGACCATTTGATTCTAGAAAGGGGTGGGGGGGGGGTCAAAAATTGTGAAGTCAGATCATGCCTTCACATGACAGAATATACATGTATTCTAGGATGACAAGTCTTTTTTTTTTTTAGTTTTGTCTTCACAGAAAAATGTTCAACAAACAAAAACAGAGAGGGATTGTTAAAACTAAAAGAAAACTAACTTTCTTATTTATTTCCAAGATCGTTCAGCCCCCCCCCCCCCCCCCCACACACACACATACACATACCAAACAGAAATCAAATATTTGCCCCTTCATATTTCTTTAAAAACACTGGACAGAAAATTTTGATTTATATAAATTTCAAACTATCTCCGAAATTGAAATTATTTGTCTTCTGGATCAATCAGTAACACTGAGCGTTCTAGAGTAGCTGAGGTGGATTGAAAATGAATTTCAAACTGGAATTTCAATCCAATGTTTTCTCGGACGTCCGTGTCGAATTGTACCCGCCCATTTCATTGTCTATCATTAAATCTTTTCACTTTAACAGATGGAAATGACGTAAGTTGCATATTTGCAATTTTGCCAGCTAATGTTCCGCGGTCTTATTAGATTCACAGTATCAAGCCATGTGGTTTTTGCTTAAAATGCCTTCGAAATAATTTATTTGATTTTGATAATCATATTCTGTACTCAATTATAAATATGTTGTGATATGAATGGAACTCCTTGTTTTTTGTATCCCCATTCATAGAAAAATAACAGAGGACTTGGTAGTAAAGTGACATCACTATTGTATTTTAATTTGGTATCATTGATGAGCAAAACAAAAATATTTTACGAATTAATTCTGTGGTAAAAAGGGGTTTGTTTAGGGATTGAACGTAAGCGATAATAATCCTATCATTTTTAGTCGCTGAAACTAATACACTTTTTTGTGTTTCACTAATTTATAATTTAATAAAATTGTAAATGATTACACGACATCGTGTGATCATTTAAATTGCAACTTTAAATTGTAAATTAGTAAAGGACACTAATCTCCAGGCTAATAGGTTTTAAAAACTTATTCCTAATCCTTTTGTAATTACAAATTACAATATGTTCAAATCAGCAAAGAAATGGTGGAGTGCATGATTTTTAAGAATTTTTCCCAATAGTATATGATTCGTTACCCTACATTCTATGACCTACTAGGAAATTACTTAATTTGTAGATTGCAATGTTGGTATGAAGCATTAGGATTTTAAGACAGACAGACGTGGAAGCTATTCGATACCTTATTGTTCACAGAAGAAGTGGAGCTCATCAGAATGTCTTAGATTTTATCACAACATGCTCTTAGTTACTCATACTCGGCAGAATGTTTTAGTTTAGTATGATAAAGTGGGAGGGTTCGATAATACTATAACAAAACTCTTTACGAAATGAAAATTTCCATAAACGATTCACAGCAAAAGACCTTTTCTCTGAAATAACTGGGCGGCGAGACTCCCTCCCCTTTGGTCTGCAAAACATCGCATAATTCGTCTATCATACAACTTACGCATGGAATTAAAACAATTTGTTTATCAAATTAAATGCATGCATTTAAAGACAATTTTTTTGTTCCTGGTTTCCATTCCAAGTAACTGCCATACAACACTTTACAGATTACCGAGTCAGCGTGCATAAAAATATATTGAAGGTTAAGCATACCTATCCACAAAATAACATCTTCTGAAGGCTTGTGTTTTCTGAGACCAAATCCAACTCCGAGACCCACCCCGATCCCGACCAGAACAAAGAGGAGGAGGGCATTAGTCCGGAGGCAACTGAGCGCATGTTGTCGAGGATTTTCAGACATCTTGAAAGAACGACCCACAATTCTCAGTCACTGCACTCAGATGTAATGGGAGATTAATGAATGCATGGTGAGACGTATTTTGTACTTCCACAGTGTCTTTTATCACTGCATCAACCTTAATTAAGTGTAACTTAAAATAAGTACGACTAACAATTTGAAGCAGATGTAAGCGTCTGAATTACTTTTACCCCTTTTTCTTTTTGTTTGTTTGGTGTGTCTTATCTGTATTTTTTTTTTTTCAATTCAATGTTTTGTGTATTTGTTTATTTTTCAATAATTCATTTGTGGATTTTTTCTTTGTTTGTACGTTTTGCTTCTTTGTATTTGTCTGGATTAGAGAAAGCTAGGAAGGTTCTAATTCGCTAATAGCATTTAATGTTTTAGTTATCATGAGCTACATGTATAATTGTATTGGGTATATATATATATATATATATATATATATATATATATATATATATATATATATATATATATTTATATATATATAATATATATATATATATATATATATATATATATATATATATATATATATCAGGCACTTAGCATCAAGGGGGGGGGGTGTCCCCCCAACTTTTTTCTAAACATAACTTTTTACTATTGAAAATGTTCATGAAAGGCCGGTTGCCCCCCCCCCCCACTTTTTGTTGCAGTATAGTCAAATAAGGGTAATGTAGTAGTGTATACGGTATAGATAAAATCTGGTACTGAAAGAAGTTGGAACCTACCCCCCCCCCCCCCCCCAAGAAATAGGATTTTCGATTTTGGAGAATTTTTTTTTTTTAAATTTGTTTGTCAATTTTTTTTTTTCAGGTTAGTTGAAATTTTTTTCTCTGGCTGCCCCCCCCCTTTCAAAAACGATGCTACGTCCCTGTATATATATATATATATATACATACATATATATATATATATATATATATATATATATATATATATATATATATATATATATATATATATATATATATTGACGAACCTATCACGATCCCTGGACTCAGGGAGGTATGAATTTTAAAATGTATTTTCAATGTATAACCATACAACCAATTAAAGACTAATCAAGTACCTTCCACAGATATACACAGTAAGTCGAGAGAGGATGAATTTCACAATTTTGGAATACGGATAAGTGTTAATTAAATGCATTTATTCTGTTTGTCTTGTAGATGTCCGTGGGTAGAAATTTTAAAAGGTGAGTTGTTTCTTTTATTTCAATCTATGACCAATTTAGGGCCACCATGGGGTTTGAACGGTAGACAGGGGAATATGGTTTTGACAATATTTATATAGGGATATGCATTCACTGCAATCACATAATCATTTTGTCCATAGAATCTGACATAAAAAGACCTTAAGAAAAGAAAATTTTCGAAGATGAAATGAATTTTTAACGTATGCCCCTACTTAGTGTTTATTGATGTTATCATGGAAACGGATTTCTCTGCTTCATGTCAGCGAGTACAAAGGAGTTTTTAAAGATGTGATGTATTTTCAATAAATAACCGACGCCTTACACAGCTATGGAATTTTCAATTTTTGCAGAAGGATTGTTTTTTATTATAACCATACAACATATTGACTACCAGATGTTTGTAGAGAATAAGAATTTCAAAGGTGTAATGTATTTTAATATATGCTCAATTAGTCACGACATTGGACCTAGTAGACAACAGTTTTACAATTTTTGTAAATGTTTAAGTACTCCCTGTAACCATGCAAATAATTTACCTGTTACATTTCCCTGTGTAAGAACGATTTACAAAGTTGTATAGCTTTTTCAATATATGCCTAAATTAGTCCATCGTGGGGTCTGAACCATGGGTTAGGGGGCCATAAATTTCACAGATGGTCGAATAGTTTATCAGCTAGAATCCATAATTAAAGGAGTGGTTTTCTAAATGTCCTTAAAAAAAACAAGCAAACAAAATTGTTAAAGGTGTAATGAATTCTTAATATACATGTATGTCCAACTTGGCCAAAACCTGGGGCCTGCACGCCGTCCCAGAGCCAGGGACCATGAATTTCATAATTTTGACAGAGCTAATTGTTTATTATAATCAAGGAAACAGTTTTTCTGCTAAATTTTATATTCACGAGTAGAGCAGAGTTTTCAAAGATAAATGTGTTTGTAATATGAACAACAAAGCCCAGACCTAGGGCCTCGGCTATGAGCTAGAGGACCATGATGTTTTAAATGTGGAAAAAGGTTTAGTGTTAATTATAATCATGGAAACATTTTGTCTGCTCAAAGTCAATAATATATTAAGAAGCAGATTTTTTCAAAATATAATGCATTTTCAATATATGACTAGCAAAGCCGCGACCTGAAAGCTTTACCATCATGGCATGATCCAGGAAATAAGATTACACTATTTTAATAAAAGGTTTAATACTCATAATAAGCATGAACAGTTTCCCTGCTTGATGTCCTTGAGTAAAGATGATGGTTTTTAGGTCTCTTGAGTCACCCAGAGTTTGCAAAATTCATGGCTCCTCTGTCAGTAGTTATGGTGTTAGGATGGAGCTCAATTACACTGTAAAAAGTAGTGTTAATTTTTAACATGTTCATGTGTTATTTGATCCACGGCAGTGTTAAAAGTTCATATATCAACGGTGTAAAATCTTAAACGCATAGTGCATTTAAGTATTCCATGTACTCTGCTTTAACATATATGTGTTAAAAGCTTCTTTAGTCTTCTTGCAGTTTATTTCAATTAATATTTATAGTTTTTTTTTTTTACCTTTGATTTTATGAATATAAATTTCAAGCTTAGCTTGTGTAAAAATTCTGTAACTCCCCCGACTGATATATTTTCTGAACAGATATCAATACCTTAGTATACAAATATGTGTATATAATTTTAGGTGTATATCAATTTATATGCATTACATGTACACTGACATGATTAATAATATTCATTATCTGTTTGTTACAATATCTTTAAAAATCCTTGAATTGTTTTTTGTTGAAAAAAAAATCACTCAAAATGCAAGTAACTGACACATACTATATTAATTGTTAAATAACACTAATGTCAAAACTAGGAATTATTTCATTCACACATTAAGTGTATATTTTCGTGCCTGCCTTGTGATATAACTGACCTCTCTCTAGTTGACCTATATGTAACCTTTGCCGCCGCATCAGTAATTTCTTTGTTTCAAAGATAGCGGTCAGCAGAAAATTCAAAGAAAGGATAGCCAACTTCGGTGTGTTCTTGTGTGCAAGGGTAAGTTGATTTTTAAGTAATTTTTTACACAATCTGTAATAAATATATAATTATTTTTCAAAACTTTTATATCAGAAGCACTTGAATTATGCATTCTTTGGTCGGTTGAGTCAAGTAAACAAATAGTAGATATTGTACTAATTTGTAAACGTTTTCAAAAACTCTAGCTGATTCTTTTGATTTTTAATAGCTTATATTACGATATTTAGCACACTTCCAAACTTAAAAGTATTTCCTTATGCATTTCCATCATTTATTTAGAATGTCCATTCAATAGAAAACCTACCATCAACACATCTCAAAGGATCTCGAGTCTGAAGAGGAATATGCCCCTTCCCTAGCAGCTTTCTTAAGTGATGAAGAACTTGTTGTGATATACATGTACGTCGTTGGAGACGGATGTAAAATATTAGAAACTATGACTGCATATTACGTATTTGAACTGGACTACCATGGAGAAATTTACGGACAGTTTTTGGATATTTTACAACTGTGGGTGGTTGGTGATATCTTTACACAAAACAAAACTACAAACTGGAACAATTTAGTGAGCAATTTGGACATGCATATGTTAAAAAATAAAATTATTCTCGTAAAATGTGTATTTGTCTTTGTTTTCCCCACAGGACAACAATCAAAAGGAAAATAATAGGATTTTATTTTCAAAAAATGTGTTAACTGGTTAACATCAGCTTTGGAATTAACACGTTAAAGCGTGAATTAAGTGTTTCCAGGGGTTTTAACGTGTAATGTGTTAATTTTATGAAACATTTCTACATGTTAATAGATCAACACACACGTTAATGTATTTACACTTTAACGTGTGAATTAAGTGTTTCCAGAAATGTGTTAATTTAAGGAATAACTGTCAAATTTTTTGGATTCATGATGTGATCAATCGAGTGGCTTGCGTGATAATTTGCATAAACGCCGAAGGCGTTTATGCATAAAATTATCACGCAAGCCAATCGATTGATCATCGTCATGAATCCAAAAAATCTGACAGTTATTCTTTATATTTACATGCTCTTGATTCTGCAAATTCCCGTGCTAATAGCCCCGCGTCTGTCTCTATTTGTCCCGCCCGCACGTGATTTTTCTTTTAACCGCGCCTATCGATGAACCAGTAGATTTATGTAGAAATAAAGTATTTTTACAATTTGTAATTTTATCTCGGACAAAGACATTGGAAATGTAAATATAATTGTGTAAAATTATTTACACTTCTTTTTACAGTGTAATCATAAAGTGAAAATGCATTAATTTAATTCTTTGAAAATCATCTCTGCTCCCGGGTACTAATCAGACAAAGTAATGCATTGTTATGATGAGCAAGGGTGCTTCTATCTAAATTGTGAAATTTATGGCCCCTGGGTCAGGGGTTCTGGTGTAACTCACTGTGCAGGGCTCTATTGATCATGCAGTGAAAATTAATTAATTCTTTGAAACTTTTTTCAGCTCCTGTACATCTAGCGGGCTTACCAAGTACTAGTTGTAAAGAGCAAGTGTGTTTACCAGATCTGTGAAATTCACGGCCACAAGGTCAGGGATTCTGGTTCTGGGGCAGGTCTTTACGGATCATGTAGCGAATTTTTTTTACTCCACTTTGAGAGATGTTATTGTCCTTTGGTTTTTATTAATGATAATTAATGTAAATATTGTAAATTATAGATATATTGAATAAAAAATTATACTTTTTTAAAATGTATAATGTAAAAAAAAAATATTTTTTTTTATAGTTTTCAATGGTCAAGTAAATTTGTAAGTAAAAAATAAATAAATAGCAGACAAATAATTTAAATTTGCACCACAAGTATTAATGAAAGATCAAGAAAGGGAGATGGAAGGGATTGGGTTTACTATATCATGCTGAACTACAGTATTGTTCTTAAGATTTGTGACAAATGGAAGTAGTGTAGCACTGGCATGAACAGGAAAGTCAATAAAATCTACTTCCTGAGTAGTTGCAGATTACCAGATAAATTACTTTGTTGATCCTTGATTGTCTGGCCAATATCTCTTATTTGTGAACAACTTCCTCAATTTATTTCCCTTTATTATATAATTATCAAAATACCGTTCTGTGAATCCTATATAAAGTTGTATCATATTCAGGTGGCCGTTAAGACCCTTTGGCCTTTTGTTATTTTCAAAATGTATCCAACTTAGCATCCTTCTGGAGCATGTACCCAGATAAAAAAATAAATAGTAACAACAATCTGTTATAACTGGCGATAAACTGACACGTCTATATTCTCTTCTCTCTCTCTCGTGAGCTGCAAATACAAAATATTCTCACGAATGAAGCATAATTTACATGTAGGTTCCTGGAACCGATTCAATAACATCTTTCTGTCTCGATATAGTCTGAATAGTCTAGATAATATAACAAATGAATAATGTGATTATAAGATCATATATAAATAGGGCCTGAAAAGAATTAAACATTTACAAAGCATCTCTCTCACAAATGTACTGATAATCTCTCTTGTCACATGGTTCATCACACCAAGTACGACCATACGGAACAAAGAGACACAGACAGTCCTGATTATTGTAGTTGTTTGGTTGGTTGTGGGAGACATCCCAGTCGCTGAACGTCAGAGGGGTATTCTCATGTGCCCATCGCCATCGACCTTCAACCTCACGATCAGTTGCGCCTAACCAGACACTCGCTTTGATGAAAATAGAAATACAACGAATGAAAATAGAAATACAATGAATGAAAATAGAAATACAACGGATGAAAATAGAAATACAACGTTAGAGTTTAAAAGCACTTAGAGCCAAATACGCGCTTTTTGAGAAATAACAAGATGTGTTTGTAAAACACTGATGCCCCTGAATGGCATTCCGTGGTGAGGGTTAAAGTTTCTCAAATGCAAATGAAATTCCAAGGTCAAGAGATCAAAAATGTTGGTATCCAAAGAAAGGTCTTGTCACAAGGAATACACCTGTGAAACGTGAAAGCCCTAGCACCAACCATTCAAAATTATCGTATGCCCAAGGTTAAAGTTTTTTTTTCAAAATAGGGACGTCAAGGTCAAAGGTCATATTAATGGTGCATAGGGGAAGGTCTTGTCACAAGGAATATACATATGAAAGCCCTGGCACCAACCATTTAAAAGTTATGGCCAAGGTTAAAGTTTCTCAAAAGAGGGTCAAACTCCAATGTCAAGGACAAATTAAAAGGTCAAATCTATTGGTACCTTAGGAAGGGACTTATCACAAGAAAAAAACATGTGAAATATGAAAGCCCTAGCACCAACTGTTCAATAGTTATGATCAAGGTTAAAGTTTTTTAAAAGTAGGTCAAACTCCATGGTCAAGGTCAAAATTGTTGATAGGCAATGAAAGATCTGGCGACAAGGAATACACATGTGAAATATGAAAGCCCTTGCACCAACTGTTCAAAAGTTATGGCCAAGGTTAAAGTTTTTCAAACGTAGGTCAAACACAGAGGTCAAGGTCAAAGGTCAAAAATTGTTGATACCCAAGGAAAAATCTTGTCACAAGGAATTCACAGGTGAAATATGAAAGCTCTGGCACCAACTGTTTAAAAGTTACAGCTAAGATTAACGTTTTCAGGTCTTGTTACAAGGAATACACAAGCGAGACGCAAAGTAAGATAATTAAATAAAGTTGATAGTCATATATTGATGGGGAAGTAAAAATCCTACTAAAACAGTTAAATAAATCACTAATATACAATTTATTCCAGTGCGTGATATCAGTTGTCACCCTAAAAGTAAAAAGTATATATATCTGCCTTTTTTCTATTTGACAAATAAACTTTAATTTTCTGGGTATTATTCAACTTGAAGTTACGTGTAAACATTCCATTTATTGAAGTAACTGGCAGATAACCATAGAGAATTTATCGTCAAATTTTCCTCATTATGTTTTACCAACCTGTTAATTTTTTAGCAAGGCTGCGAACGAAGTTATTCTGGCTCGATGACTCGATCTCAACAAGTTTTGCACCAAGCTTTTCACACTCTTCCTATATTAAAATCAAAGATATCACATGCTGTTAGAAAATAAATACATGTAATTATTCAAAAGAAATATCAATTAGAGATAAATATTATTTTTCTATAAAAAGTTCAGGGATAGATGATAATAAGCTGTAATCTGTGCTAGATTTTCAAGGAGAATCTGGAGTTTGTTGTGTACATTATAATCTGAGGATATTAAGTTGATACTCTAACAGAAAGTTAATATTTTCTAACGTTCAAGAATGATTATCATAATAAGAAAATTAAGAATAATAAGTTCCATCTATATGAATGTGGTCTTATGCACTAGGTCATGCAGTAACTTATCAACACAAGGAGGAATTAGCACTGTATATTTGTACATTATTAGTAAAAGAATGGATTCATATGTTTTTAAGTTTTATTTGTGATTTACACAAGCGAGGCAAAACATCCACCGTTTATCACGATTTTGGCATTTTATCTGGTTTGTCTAGAACATTACAAATGATAGCAAACCCTGGTCGACTGATGATGAGAGTCATGACCTTACGAGATCTCTCACAGGATCAGTGCTTTGTTATCAAACAAGAGGTCAAAGGGCCTTAACAGTCACCTGGGTATACAATTAAGTACACAGAGAAATCTCTAATGCCTGTATATTTACTCGATGTGAATCAGGTGATGCCTCTAGGCTACACAAACGACTTAGCTGCTTGCCACTTGGTAACACTTGGTACCAACACTTGCCTCTTGGCTACACAAAAACTTGGTAATACTTGTTACCAGCACTCTCCATGCACTTGGCTTAGTACTCAACATGGCTATTTGCCACTTGTCAGTAACTTCAACATGTCCCCTTGTCACCCTGGCTCTCTGTTCACTTGTTCACTTTGATGCAGTATGAAAAACTTCTTGCAGTCTCTTACCAATTGAACTCTGATCTCCATGAATTTACCTGACAATAAGTCATCTATGCTCAACGGAACACTACAGTATACACATTCTAAGTACAATTGGCCCATTTGCTGCATAAATACTATTAATCTTTATTTCAAAGTTGAATGTCATTGCAGACAAGTTATCCCGGTTCCAATTTCAGGCGGCCCGGCAGTTGGCACCACATCTGGTGGAAGATCAGACACCCATACCAGACTGCCTCCTGCACATTTGACCAGTGAGGCACAATCTCTACTCTCTGCATCATTATCACCTTCAACACAATCAGCATATAGAAGATCATGGCAGCTTCTTCAATCATTTCAAGCCAATACAACATTACCGTTACAGGTGACAGATGTTTGCAACTTCATTGCTCATCTCCATGGCTCTCATTTTAGTGCAAGTACTATCTCTTCTCATATATCTGCGCTAAGCTATGTTCACAAGCTACTTGGTTTACCTGATCCTACACAAATGTTTATTGTCAAAAAAATATTAAGGGGTTGTCACAAATTGTCTCACACTGCAGATTCACGCCTTCCAATTACTATAGGTATTCTAGGACAAATTATTAATGCTCTGCCAAATACTGTCCCTGTTTTTGACCATCATATCATGTTAAAAGCCCTTTTCTTGTTTCCATGCTTTCCTTAGGATGGGAGAAGTCACTGTAAAGCAGGGTATTGCCCATAACAAGGTCATTCAGGTGCAAGATGTAACTTTTCAATACAAAGGTCAAAATCCCTGCAGTGTTCAATTAGTTTTACGTCATTTTAAAACTCAAAAAATGAATGAGCCCATCATAATTTGCTTAGAGAGTTCTCCCAATTCTGAAATATGCCCCGTCAATGCATTATGTGTATATCAGTCTCAATTTTCACATATCTCCGGCCCACTCTTTCAATTTAAAGATGGCACACCACTCTCATATAATTATGTTTCCAAGCAACTTGCAGCCTCAGTAAAATTTACTGGTCTGAATCCAGCATTATATAAAGGTCATAGTTTCCGAATTGGAGCCGCAACTTATGCTGCTCAAAAAGGGTACTCTGAGAATTATATACAGCAACTGGGTCGTTGGAACTCTAATGCCTTGAAGCGTTATATTCGAATCCCTGCCTTCTCTGTTTAATATCCTTGTCTGTAGATACAACCCAATCTAATACTTGATGATAGGTCAGTGTTTAACTGCTATCTAACTAATAGGTCTGATACATGTATGTAATAATGGAATGCACAACTTACTTATACAGGTCAGTGTATAACTGCTGTACAAAAGGTGTCACATAGCACTATGCATGATTAGCCTACCCCTGTTTATTTAATTGTTTGTTTCTACATGCAGGTCAGTGTTTAACTGCTCCATTCATCATTAGGATTGTCATTAATTTTATGTATACCATAAGGAGAATGCTACAGGTCAGTGTTTAACTGCTGTAGCCATTATTATCTGTGGTATATTCAATGTTAATGTAAAGTAAATGCTACAGGTCAGTGTTTAACTGCTGTAGCCATTATTATCTGTGGTATATTCAATGTTAATGTAAAGTAAATGCTACAGGTCAGTGTTTAACTGCTGTAGCCATTATTATCTGTGGGATATTCAATGTTAATGTAAAGTAAATGCTACAGGTCAGTGTTTAACTGCTGTAGCCATTATTATCTGTGGTATATTCAATGTTAATGTAAAGTAAATGCTACGGGTCAGTGTGTAACTGCTGTAGCCACATTATCAGTGTAATATGGATCATGGTCAATTTAAACTTTGGTTCCTTCAGGTCAGTGTTTAACTGTTTAAGAAACCTCAGTAAAATTAAAAAGGTCTCCCATTAATGTGCTGGCTCACCAATACATTTTGTAGTTTTTCATGAAAAGTAGACTTTAATTAAAAATGTCAAGTTGCTATAGCTATTTTGTACGTTTTCATTAGGTTATATATAAAATAGCGGCTCACCTTGGATGGCGTGGGATATGATCTGATGATCATATCTTTGGCCATATTTGTCGCCATCTTTTGCTTTTTGTAAGCCGTATACCAATTTTTATAAAGTTTATGTTGTATCTAGTCAGAACTAAAGTTTTCTTTGTGACCTATTTTCTATGGGGGAAATCAGAACGTATGTGTGCATATCTTGTAAAATGTATATATCTATATGTTCAAAATGTTTGGTATTTGCTGATTTCCCCCCTTGTTTGTAAAACTTATTTTTTCGTCATTTACTGTATTGAATAAATGACAATTTTCATTCTCACATATAATTGTCCTGTCGTATTTGAAATAAAATTCGGAGCAAAACAAAGCTGCGGTGAGCTGCTTGTATTAGGAAATAGTGAGAGACATAAAACACCTATTATGTAGATAATAGCATTTATGGCGATACTTTTCCCTGTAATAATAGTTGCCCCTTTTTTGAACCCCTGTTGATTAAACCCTGTGTTGAACCCCTGGTAATATGAGCCAAGTAGATGGTGCTTTAGCCAATGAGAATTTGATAAAGAGTCACGTGGTTATGTTATTATTGCCAAACATTGATTCGAGGAACACGCTTTTAGACCTTTGGAATTTTAATTGCCCACCACCTCCCCATTCTCATTCCCACCTATTTGTTTTTCATTTGTACTCAGGGTTGAAGTTTTGGATGTGATTCTTATTTTTGTATTATATACAGTGTTAAATCCCTTGCATATTGAAGTCTGTGTTCATGATGTATATTTTTTACGAGTTTTTGTTAATATCACAATTTTTGAACATCCTTTGTCTTTGGTAATGCCATATACATATTGGCCATATTTGTCGCCATCTTTTGCTTTTTGTAAGCCGTATACCAATTTTTATAAAGTTTATGTTGTATCTAGTCAGAACTAAAGTTTTCTTTGTGACCTATTTTCTATGGGGGAAATCAGAACGTATGTGTGCATATCTTGTAAAATGTATATATCTATATGTTCAAAATGTTTGGTATTTGCTGATTTCCCCCCTTGTTTGTAAAACTTATTTTTTCGTCATTTACTGTATTGAATAAATGACAATTTTCATTCTCACATATAATTGTCCTGTCGTATTTGAAATAAAATTCGGAGCAAAACAAAGCTGCGGTGAGCTGCTTGTATTAGGAAATAGTGAGAGACATAAATACTATTAATCTTTATTTCAATCTTTTATGCTGCTTTGCAGACAAGAATCCAACTTTGAGCATGCTCTGCTCGTTTAAACCAACATTCCTTTTTATTTTGTATCTATATATATAAAACATTCTCTCTTGTATTCTCATTCAATCAATTAACCTGTTAATAAATTATATACAAGGATTTCTTTATTTATCACAATTCAGCGAAGGGGAGTAATTCTCATTTGCTTCATTTATTACAATTTCGTACTCTGTTTGACTCCTACATACCCAAGGGCAAAGAAAAGGTACATTTATTTATATTTATACATTTACATTTATATTATTGCATTTAGTCTGTTTGCTTAATAATTAGGGACAGAGAAGATTTTCAAAGTATTAATGCATTTTGCTATATAATCAATAGAGCCCCGACAACAGAACCCCTGACCTAGGGGCCATGAATTTCACAATTTTGAAATAGACACCCTTGCTCATCAATACTATGTACTTAGTTTATCGGCTCTATGCTCGGGAGCAGAAGAGAAATTTTTCAAAGAATTCACTATATAATTATTGGAGCCACGTCCTTACACCAGAACCTCTGACCCAGGGGTCACACCTTTCACATATTGGAAGAAACACCCTTCCTCATCATAACTATGTACTTAGTTCATCGGCTTAATGCCCAGAAGTAGAGGAGAAATTTTGAAAGAATTAATGCATTTTCACCATATAATAATTAGAGCCACGTCATAACACCAGAACCCCTGACCCAGGGGCCACAAATTTCACAATTTTGGAAGAGGCATCGTTGCTCATCATACCTTTGCATTTAGTTTGTTTGCTTAATACCAAGTGCAGAGGAGAAGATTTTTCAAAGCATTAATTCATTTCAGTTTATAATAAATATGCCCCCCCCCCCCATGGCACCCCTGACCCAGAGTCCGCATCTTTTAGAATTTGGAATAGACAACCTTGCTCATCAATACTATGTACTTAGTTTATCGCCTTAATACCCAGGAGAAGATTTTCAAAGAATTCACTATATTATCATTAGAGCCCCACATTAACACCCAGAACCCCTGACCCAGGGGCCATGAATTTCACAATTTTGGAAGAGGCATTTTTCATATATAACCAATCGACTCCCACCCTTACACCAGAACCCCTGACCCAGGAGCCATGAAATTCACAATTTTGGAAGAGACACCATTGCTCATCATAACTTTGCATTTAGTTTGTTTGCTTAATACCAAGGGCAGAGGAGAAGATTTTTCAAAACATTAATTCATTTTCAGTGTATAATAAATATGCCCCACACGGAATCCCTGACCCAGGGTCACATCTTTTATATTTTGGAAGAGGCACCCTTCCTTGTCATAACTATGTACTTAGTTCATTGGCTTTATACCCAGAAGCAGAGGAGAAGATTTTAAAAAAAAAAAAGTAATGCATTTTCACTATATAATCATTAGAGCCCCGCCCCAACACCAGAACCCCTGACCCAGGGGCCATGAAATTCACAATTTTGGAAGAGACATCCTTGCTCACCATAACTATGCATTAAGTTTGTTTGCTTAATACCCAGGAGCAGAAGAGAAGATTTTTAAGAAATAATGTATTTCACTATACATTCAACAGAGCCCCGCCCTAGCACGAGAACCCATAACTCTGGGGCTATGAATTTCACAATTTTGTTAGAGGGCTCATTGCTTATTACAATCATGCGAACAGTTTGACTGCTGGATGTCCAGGAGTAAAGAAGACAATTTTTAAAGATTGCTTTAATTTTGGTGGTTTTAGCCCCATCCCCCAGGCTCCAGGGGGCATCGACCATAATTTCACAACTTTTGTTTCCCTTCACACATAGATGCTATATGTCAAAATTGGTTGAAAATGATTTAGAGGTTGCAGAGAAGAAGCTGAAAATGTTCAACTGTTAACGCACATCGCACGACGACGGACGAAAAAAGATAGCAATAGGTCTCCTGAGTGACTCAGGTGACCTAAATATTACCGTTTTGGCGCGTACAAGAATAGATTAATATTTAAGTTTGAATTGTGATTTACACAAGAGTGGCAAAGCATCCGCCGCTTATCACGATGTTGGCATTTTACCTCATCTGTTTTTTTTGTTTTTTTTTTTGTTTTTTGTTTTTTTTGTTTTTTTTTTAACATTAGAGAGGTTTACACATGGTCGACTGATAATGAAAATCATGACCTTAACGAGATCTCTCACAGGGTCAGTGCTTCATTAAGAAAAAAAAATATCGTTTTGGCAGGTTCTAATCTTGATATTCCGTCCATTAATTCTGATGTTTTTAAAAGCTACAGTAAACAGTTCTCATTTCTTCTATTTACCTTTGCTTCAGGAATAAAAAAAGTTAATGCCAGTTTTTTCTAGAAAATGAATTTTCCCTTCCATTGGCAGGGCTTTAATTGTATTTCTTAAAATGATTTTGCATACATGTACGCCTAGGCGAATCACTGTACTGCCATCTTGATAATGCAATCGTTTCACTCTTTCATTCAATGATGAGAATCTATTTCTTTTTTTTTTTTAATAAACAAAATTTAATTAATTAATTTTATTGAAATGGGGCTATGACTTTGTAAGCTCATGAAACTTTATCCATCAAATGGGAACATTTGTTTTTTATTGAAAAATTACCCAGTTAATTTTGAACTTGCGAAAGTCCTTGCACTAAATAATGGTTGCACCATACTTGAATGCTTCGCACAGAAATGTAACATTGTTACATTTAACTTTGCTTACGATAAAATAAATGATTTTAGTTAAGACAACTTCTATTAAGAAATCATTGTAGTCTGTGCTGTACCTGATTTATTTGTTGAAATAAATAAAAAAAAATTAAGAATCATATAAACATGTTAAATGAAATAATATCAATATTTTACTAAAAAGCATTAAGCATCTTACGCTTGCAGTCATCCATTTCACTTTCTGCCTTCCTAACCAATATTCCGAGTCTCCAAATCGTGTCCATCCTTAAATACAAAGAGCAACAATAATAGGAAAAGAAGTAACAAAATTTAAGAACAAATTCTGAAAGGGAAGGATAAATACAACAATCTATAAACGGTAACTGGGAGCAGTGAGCCTATTTAGTTCTTTACTAGATAAACAATGAAATTAGAAATATTCTTCTTTGATTGTTTCAAGAAAATTATTAATTAAACTCAACTGAAAAAGGCAACATGCTCTGAATTTATCTCAAATGTACATGTATAAATCTTTACCACTGAGTAAAATATATAGTGTACCTTTACCAATTTAATATTTACCACTAATAAATGAATTAAACAGTATATGATAATTTTTACTGAACATTATGAAAAATTAACAATTTGCGCATATAACGATTTACAATGCATGTAGTCATTACCTGAAGAGAGATGAGACGTAATTTTCAGCAGTTGACTGCTACTGGCATTTTGTTCTTGGCGAATGGTTTCCATTGTTTCATTGAAAACAGTCCAAAACTTCTGTAGACTAGTATCAACCATTTGTAAGTATTTGTCGCTGTCCCCATTCACAGACGTAATAGATTCAAATACTTTCTTCAGTTTTTCGTTTTCTTCTTCAAGTTTTTGGTTTTTAGTTTCCAATGCATGCAGTTTCTTGTTTATGTCGCTTAATTTTCTCTTGAAAGCTTGGGCATCGTTTTTGTTATCTATGACATCCATTGTCAAACTCTGAATTTTTTGCACCATTGAAAAGCGCACTAAACTTTCTTTATTCAAAATATCCAGTAAAAGATCTTTTCCATTTGTGGTACTAGACGTTATTTCATTGGATTCTTTATCTGGTAGAGTCAGGCCAAAGGTCTCGAACAAAAACGGAAGAAAACAGAGCAATTGTAAAACATGAGCATGCCCCATTGTTTTAACAATAACTCGAATGATGTATCTACTGCTTATGAGATGTGTGAAATATCTCGATTAGTTTGTGCTCTCGACTGAATTTTACAAGTAAGTGAAAAGGCAGTACCCAAAATGATAAATATATATGAACAATGACGTACTAAGCAGATTTTGACGTCAGTCAATTTGATTGATTCTATTCAGAACTTGGCTACTGGTACGTAAAAAATATTTAGGATGAGCTGAAAACAACATGTGCAGGAAGCGGAAAGCAAGTTCCGAATGGCTCAACATCAGAATCTATTATACGTGTAAATTATATAATCAAAAAAAAAAAAGAAAAAAAAAGATATTGGCTTTTCTTCTAATCAATTTATTTGTATCATTTCACTCGCCCTGGTTATCTTAAAATGATATGTATTTCCTTTTTGAAAAAGAAATCTTATTTATAAACATTTATCTCAAGTGAAAAGGAAAAAGAGATATTTAATACATACTGAATTACTCTTTCATGTTCGCTTTCTATGAAAATCTAGGAAATACACAAGGCCGATACGGGGTTTCCTGAGAGAGAGAGAGGGGGGTGCGGGAGAGGGTCTGGGAAGGCATTCCCTCTTCTAAGCCAGATTTTTTTTAACTGATTGGGTTCTTGTTTGTTCTTTTCATTTTGTCATTTGTTTTAAATTAATTACAGCAAAATTTCAAAGCATTTATTTAAGAAAAATAACATTCCAAGATTTCTTTTTCAAATGTCAATTTATTATTAGATCAAGAGTATAAAATTCAAGGGAGAAAGTCACGAACTTAAAGATTCATTTTGTCTTAATCTCTATCGACATGTTTTTTAAAATGTTTTATTGAATCGTAGACATGATATCCGGCTGAAAGCTCACAATCTATAATAAACAATGCCTACATTAATTTATTTTTTATCTAGTTATTCAAGAAAACTTCATTTCCTCCGCTTCCCTCTGACGAACTTGTCTGATGAATGACCCAATGATGAAAGCGATTCCAGTAAATTTGTTTTATTTTAACCTTGAGCTTTCGTGCAGATTTTTGTCTGGACCTCTGTTTATAAAATTCTGCATTACTTTTTAGTTCTTACAATGAACTTGGATTCTACAATGCCAGTTAAACTATATTCAAAAAAAACAAAAAAACAAAACAAAACAAAAAAAAAAAAAACACATGATTAAATTCCATACAAAAAGCATTAAGCGAGGAACTATATTTTGTGGCAGAAGTTTTTTTAAAAAGAAAATGATCGAATTTTCTCTTTCGAAGTATTTACAGTACTGTTTTGTTTTGATTCCTATTTTTCCAAAAAGACTGCACCCAGTGTTATTTTAAGCAGTGAAATGTTTTATGCTGGTCGCGAATTATGTATTGAATTAACTAGTATGAATTCTATCATCAAATTGTGACAAATATACATATAGCAAACATTTTTGTGAAAGTCCAGTAAAATTACTTTAAGATTGACACTTTTTAAGTAATATCTAAAGAATAACATCACAATCCTCCACTGTTAATTTTCTTTTCTGAATACGAGGGTCATTCAATAAGAAATGCAACATACAATTTATCATAATAAATGTACAAGTATTAAATTTTATTTCTTAACAGTTGAAAAGTTCTATTAAGGAACCCCTAATCAAAGAAAACCTCATGTTTTTTTTTTCTTATTGTTCTCGCAAATGAATTCACTTTTAAAGTAAGCATGGTCACTACACTGAGCTGATGTTTAAAAATGATCTCTGCCAAGAAGATGAAAATGAGTGCGTATACATGTGAAAACTGTGCTTCATTACATACTAGTAAATAGCTGAAGAATCAATATTAAAGATATGATTTTAACATCAATTCTCTGTAAGGACCAAAAATGTTTGGCCACGCACTATCATGGAATTTTATTTTATCACTATAATATTAGAGAGTGCCCTATATAAAGACTATTGGTGGGTAAATTTTGGACAGTACCTCCTTGGTTTCCATAGCAACGACTTTGAAATATTTTGTCATGGCAATCACCATGTAAAATAATTCCGTGCTTCCTTAATGTAGGAAAGTTATGAACATAACATGGGTTTCATTTTATAGCTAAGTAATCAAAGTTTCTGTGCAACTAAATTTTATTCAATTTAACCCAAGGTTTTTAATATGATACAGATCAATTTACATGAATTTGTCATAAAAATGAATACAAAGGTGCCAATTTCTTGATATGCATATTAAATTTTGCAGGCAATTGAAACTTAGAAAAAAGATCTTTTTAGTAAGATCAAGCTTAGATCTAAAAGATGCAAAAAGATTTGAGGTGGGGAAATCAGTTAAAAGTCATATTCCAATCCCCTCAAATTATAACTTTTCCTAAAAATTAACCTAGAGTTATTTCCCTTTGCTGACTCTTTTGCACTGAAGACAAAAAATTAAACTGGTGTTATTTCCTTTTGTTGACACTCCTGTATTGAAGTCTAAAGGTAGCTAAACACAGTTTCGTATAAAATCCAGGGTTTTCCTCAGAGAAAAGCATGATGGGTAGGGATTTCCCTGCTATTTTTATGCAGTGTACATGAAAATTGCAGCTTTTTTATTTTTATTTGCATAAAGTAGAGTCTTATCTTAAGATTAAATGAAAAAAGTATACAAATATTTTTTGAGAATTATTTTTTGTGTGACTTTTTAATAGTGGGAGATAACTCTAAAATCACCCATTTTTCACATGTGCAGAATTGCATGATTTGAGTAGCAGGTAAAGTAGCTCTTTAAAAAGCTGGAAAATGTACCCTAAAAGTACAACAAAAAGAAACCTAAGGACTTGCTCTGTTAAATGCACAGCACTTATATTTTCTGATTTCTGCGCTGTTTGTGATCAAGGGAGCTAAAAATGCATAGGTGTACTACAATTAGACGCATAAACTTCCCTATTTCCCTCATGTTTCATGTGTCAAATACACCTTATTAGTAAGTGATAAATGCAATATATTTACATATTTATAAAATTCACAATTTTATCTTTCTACTGATATATAGATGTCTATGTAGCAAGTCTTCATATTATTTCTTTATGGGGGTCACTTTAGCATGTCCCTCATTTAGTAACGTCATGATAACGTCATACATAAAACTGTGTTTTGCACCCAAAGAAGTTTATAACAACATGTGGCAAAAACAGACGCCAGAAAAATAAACATGAAACAATAACGGAAAGATGATGTGTCTTTCAACTCTTTAAATTGGAATTCAGGTGTGAATGGCAAAGGAATTCATCAAATGAAGGAGACACTGCTTTCTCAGCATTCAACTTGATAATGATGTACAGGTCTTTATTATGATAATAGATTTTTAATGTCAAATTCACTTTGCAAAATATTGAAACAAATTTTATGAGGTCTGACTTGCATTCCCATCATGTGGGATTCCATGTACTCTAAAACCCATGAGAAAAATGCAAGATGCAATTGGAGGAAAACAACAAGCAGAAGACAGGGCAGTCAGTGGGAATGGTTAGAACAACCCTAGGCACAGGTATAAATTTGAATGTTTTCAAATATTCATTTTGTATAAAAACTACATGTAAGAAGCTTTTTTCAAATAAATTGACATAATTTTAAATTAAATAACTTTTTTTATATAATAGACTTAATTGGTCTATATTCAAAGATCACCATGTTAGCAGGACATTCCAGATATATATCTTATTAATATATTTGCATTATATTTTTGCTTGCTTCAGAAAGCAACTTACTTTGGCAAATCATAACTACAAAGTTTATCAAAAGGAGGAGAATATTGTAGAAGATGTAAGTTGTATGTAATGAAAAATATACACAAGGCTATATAAAATATATATATATATTTTTGGTAACATTGTACACAGTGGCGGTTCCAGGAATCTTGAAAAGGGGGGGGGGGGACCAGTGTGGTCTCGGGGTACTGGCTCAAGGCCACACCAAAAAATTGATTTATTAAATCTGTCGTATATTTTGGACACAAGGGGGGGGGGGGGGCTGGGGCCCCCTCTAAATCCGCCATTGGTACAGTTTAAAATCTAATTTGGCCAAAAAAGTAGTAGGTGGTGGGGTAAAAATTAGAGATGGTCGACTTAACGGAAACACATAAAAAAAAATTTAGTCTAAAAAGAAGTCATATAATTCCGATTCACTGTAAAAGAACAAAACATATTTAACTGCAGCTATAAATACAAACTAATAAGATATAAATATAATATACCAATGTAAATGTATGCATTCATGATTGACAATAAGAATGAATTTCTTTAATTTGAAAAAAAAAAAAATATTTTAAACATATTTTAGATGTACTGGTGCTTTGAAAAGAAAAAAAGAAGATGAAAAGATACATAGAGAAATAATTTTCAGTAAAAACCAGGTGAATTTTTTTTAATATTACAATTGTCTGGATATTGAATTTTCATTTTTTTTAATGCCACTGCCACCATGAATTTATCAATCTTTTATAAAAGTCATGATTTTGACAGATTCTGGGGGTGTAATAATTATGAAAAGAAATACAAGAAATACAAATTGGTTGTTGATTATATATACTTCTATGTATGAAATATATGGAGATAACGAACAGTATTCAAGCTCAAAAGTCCATTATACAATACAAAATAGGAGCAGAGCAAACACGGACCTCCAAACATCAGAGGTGGGATCAGGTGCCATGGAGGAGTGAGCATCCCCTGCCGACCGGTCACACCCGCCGTGTGCTCCTTGTCATGATCGGTAAATAACGGAAAAATCCGTCGACAATTCAGTGTGTAAATAATGGCCTAACAATTAGTATGAAAAACGTCAGTCAGCATTTGACTCAATGATAAATTGTATTTGCTGACAAGGTCATTGTATCGACCAAAGAACTTACGAAATGATGACTTTAAACGAGACAGCTGATATTCTTGTTTCATCAACTTATTTGTCAATAATATATTGTTAACATTTTAGGACTGTGACACAGGAGCATCACTAAGTATGAAAGGCTGCACTCAAATAGTACAACGATGAAGGATACATGAGCAACTGTAAGTACACTATAATTTAATTAATTCAATTTTCCTTTTTCACTTGATGTATGTTTAATCAAACTTTTAAGATAATCTTAATTCACAAGCAAATTTATGGTGGGTATAATTTACAAATATTCAATCAGAACTTGTTCAGGAAAGTTTCCCTTGTGAGTACAAGTTCATACATTGAATATGTATAAAATTTATTTAATATGCAATTATATATATATATATATATATATATATATATATATATATATATATATATATATATATATATATATATATATATATATATATATGACCTCTTGATCTTGGAGTTTGACCCACTTTTGCAAGAATTTACCAAACTTTAACCTTGGCCATAACTTTTGCAGGGCTTTCATACTTCACATGTATATTCAGGTTTCAAAACCTTTCCATGGCTATAAATAGTTTTGACTTTGAACTTTGACCCACTTTTAAAAAAACTTTAACATTGGAAATAACTTCTGAACAGTTAGTACTAGGGCCTTCATATTTCACAGGAGTATTCCTTTTGATAATGGTTTCCTTTGGTCACCAATAATTTTGACCATTTGACCTTGGAGTTTGACCCACTTTTAAAAAAAACTTTAATCTTGGCCATAACTATGGAATGGTTAGTATTTGGCGTTCATATTTCACAGGTATATTCATTGAGAGAAGTCATTTCTTTATCTTTTTTATTCACATCTCTTTTACATTATTGTACATTGAAGTTAATACAATATGGTGTGTTTTTTAAGAATAGATAGATAAAGGAGAGAGAGAGAGTTAAGAAAAAAGCCGATTCCATCTGTTCCACTGAACATAAAACATTTCTTTAATTTGGGTAATAATATTTTGAATTCTTGACCTTGGGAGTTTGATTTGGTTTGACACTTAATGATCTAGCATCATGATGACAAGGCTTTGTTTTATTATCACTTTCCTTTATTAGTTTATTACTTATGATCATACTTTATAAGTTTGCGCACATGTATTTTTTGTATATAAAATCAATCTTATTTGAATATTTTGACAAACAATTTATATTTAAAGAAAGGGTATAGCTTGGCCATCCTCGTCGCCTCGAGGGAATATATTCTGTTTGAAATGGAGTGTACACAGAGCAAGTTGTGTTATAACCGGTCAATTATCGGTGTCTTCAGAACAGAATCTGATCATTTCGGACCAAAATGGCGTTTCGAATGGAAGTATACGCCATGTTCTGACGTTGTAGAGAGCCCCCTTAAAATTAATATTTCAAAAAGATAAAATATATAGATCGTTGAGGACAGATACTTTTTGTTAATATCACTTCCCACCATAGGAAGTTTACGCACTATATTCCCTGGGATTAGAGGATAATTAATGCACGACTTCTAAATGATTTTGCCTTATGATTCTATAAATTTAATTCATTCTATGCCATTCAAGTTTAATGTGTATGGAATGGGATCTCAGAACCAGCAAATTCTTGAAATTAGAGAAAACTGTTTAATTCAATAAATTTATTCCATCAGTGAGTTAAAAAGATAAGTTTATGTATCTAAATAACCTTTCTTGGTAAATGATAAACATAAATGTTCATAGAAACGATGCTAATACATGCAATCAAATTAATTCCAACATTTTGAGTAAAGAAACTGGGGGGATAACCGAGTCATATGCCTATATAACGATCGATAAAAAATCAATAAATTCATTTTACAAAAATTTCACTATATGTTGAATTAATGTAATGCTTATTACCATTTGCATACAAATTTGACAAAACCTGAATACTGTAACAGCGAAAATGATTCTGATTAACACAACAAAACGGCATCACGTTAAAATATGTAGAAAGACTAGTCTTTCACGCTGTATAGTTTTCAGATGTATTCGGAAATTCAAAAGTTAAAAAAGTACAAGTAAAAGATCGTAGTCAAACTGGTCAATTGAAATCCGTAGGGGCACCAAAAAATATCAATACTGTGAGCAACATGATATCTGAAAATGCTAGATTTACTTTGATAGTTATTGCTAATACGCTAAACATTACATCGTCACAACAATTTATAGAGTTCAGACAAATGAAATAAATCTAACAATAATTCTATCAAATGGGTGCCTTATTTCCTTACAAATGCTTAAGAGAAAACACACGTTTTATGGCCCAATGGTCTATTTAAAAATGAACATTTTGATTTGATAAACTTGAGTGATAGATTGTAACATGGGTGTAGTTTTTATAGTCGAAAAGTAAGATCAAGGATAAAATGCGGAATCAAAGAGGAAGCTGTCGTCCTATTCTAGCAAAGAGAAGCAAGGGTATTTCTTTTATTCAAGAGGTTCCCTGGAACATGTACATACAGCCAAAGGAAGAAATATCAATGGCTTTAGACTTTAGACATGTGTAGATGTTACCAGGGAATGCTTTTAGGGATTGAAAGTATTAAGAATCCGTTTTACGAACTTTTTTATTTTTAGATGACATTTTGCATTATTATTGAATGACCCTCGTAAATAAGACTACATGACAGTTCTGCTTAATTTCAGTAAAACCTTGAGACTTAAAAAAATTACTGCTTGTTAAAACTTTAATGCCAGAAAAATGACAGTTTGCAGTGGCGGATTTAGGGGGGCGCCCCCTAAAATTATCAAAATAAGTGTAAATCATAGTTTCGTCAAGAAAATGTAAAAATGTCTACTTGGTAGGCCTCATTTTTACCATACAAAATCTCTAGAATCCAGGAGCTTCCGGAGGGTTCGCCCCCTGGGCCCCCACCAGGGTGAAGTCTTTGACCCACTGGGGGCCTCAAGGCGGCCCCCAGACTCCCTGCCTACTTCGTGTGCCCCCCCCCCCTAACTTCAATTCCTGGATTCACGCCTGGTTTGTGAGTGCAGAAAGATCAAATGATTGATTCGGAGTAATTTGAGAAAAACATTGATGACAAAGTAACAACTATACTTTGAATAAAGTGATGACATGAAATTTTCTATCGTCAACTCCCTCTCTTTATTTAACAATATATCATTATCACCTGCATGTGGTGTTTATGTCTCCAAGTTGATATACAAAAACATGCTCTACAAACGAACAATTTTAATTTAATAAAAATTTAGACAGACTCTAGAAAAATAAGTTGATAATACATAGGTACAAGTATTAATAATCTCGTTTAAAGTCAACTTTATGCTAATGCTATGGTCGATACAATGGCTTTGTTTGCTAAAACAATCTGATACTAGTATTAGATAGAATGCCGACTGACATTTTTTCATACGAATTGTTAGGCCATTATATTCATACAAGACTGTCTACGGATTTCTACGTTTAACCGGATATGATAAGGGGCTCGCTCACGGCGGGTGTGACCAGTTGACAGAGGACCCTTAATCCTCCACGATTCCTGATCCCACTCTGATGTTTTAGAGGTCTATGTTTGCTCAGCTCTCAATTTGTATTGTTTAATTGGAATTCTGAGTAGGATTACTGTTCACTTTCTTCACATTTCCTCAGACAGAAGGACGGGCAGACATACACTAGGCAAAGTGATTCCTTTGTGTCAGCCATGCTAAGAAGGCGGCCCAAAAGGAAGGAAATTTTAATGTTGTACAGTCTTACGCATTGATTGAAGTAAGGAATAGTTTTTTTCAACAGACTTCGGGTTTATTCTCTTTAGAGAAGTGGACAGGCTTTCGCCTACATGGTTAGGAACGTCAAGATTCCTCATTTAAAACACCGGTTCTAACCCTGTTCAAGGGGGAAGGGGATGAAATTCTGCAGCGCCATTCCTAGTGTATTTCTTGTAAGACTTTCTCTTTAGAGTGCTAACAACACATATGTCATCAACGATTACAATATCATCTCGACAAATTTATCTACAAGCAAGACAAAGTCTCTCACAAAATAGGCATTTCCAAAGGCATCATTCATGGTCCAGTAATAGGACCTATATATGTTACTTTGGAATGGAAATGCTCAAAAATTATTTATAACCTAATTACTCATCCAAAAATGAAAGTCAGATGCTGCGAGAGTACATTCACATTTACCAAATCAACTGGTCTCCGTAAATTTCATCTTTTTCTCCAATCAAAAACCTGTGGGACTACCTGTAGGGTTTGAAGGCATCGGAATGCCCCAGCTGCTCTCGACCAACTAAGGGCTGCCCTGTGGGAAGGGCTGAATAATATCCCTGTGAGAAAGATAAATGCACTGATGAACTCCATGGAGTAGACAAGGCTGTGACAGAAGCGCGATTTGTACCAGGGGGTGGGGGGGTGGGGATGGGTTACCTTCATATGAATTTCAATATAACAATACTGGAAAAAGACAAAGATTACTTATGTCCTGAGTATGTACTTTGATCTTTACCAATGGACATTAGATTACCCAATTCTTTAATGGAAAAAATTGAAAGTTGACACTTTTGACAAAGATTATTTATTACCACATGTGTGTCATGATTTTGAACCAAAGTCAATTTTCTTAGTTCATCACTTTTAGAAGAGTGAAAAATTCCTATTAACTTGTAATGGAGAAACATTGGAAACACCTTTCTTTTGTGCTGAGGCTGTGTTAGCTAGGATCAAAGGTCGTTGGACAAGTTCAAGGTCACTGACAGAAAAAGTTCATAATCTGTTTAACATATCTGAGCAATTATGAATATAACCTTGTTTAAACCCACACTAGTTGGTACTTTTTACAATTTTAATTTTATGAGAAAGGGGGGATTTATTAAAAATGTTAACAAAATTAACATTATCATCTTTATTTCACAGTCTATATTCAAATATCACAAGTCAAAATATAAATAATGATAAAATTGTACAAATGCATGAAACATCCTAAAACATATATTTAATGTTATCATTGGTAATAAGTTAATTAGCACTTAAATGCTGTTACCCACATTCAGTTTCAGAATGTTTAACATTCTAAAACAACATGTAATTTAAATAGAGTTCTCTCCCTGATTATCCCATCAGTTGACTGAACGTTGGGATAGGCAGCTGTTACTGAAGGCAACACTATACAGACAGGACATTGGACAGTGGAACAAATATTGCCAACTTCTGTTCTCACTGCATCAGACTGATCAATGCATCAAAAAACTTGCTTTTATCCTCTACTTTCATCTCCATTACTATAAAAAGAAAATTGGGTCAGACATAAATATGCGCTATATCAAAAATTATTTTATTTTCTATGAAAATTGAACTTGCTTCTGAATGTTGTAGGAACTGAAGCTTTTAACTTTCTGCTCAACACACATCCATGTTAACTCTCTTTACGTGAGATACTTTGTAAATTTACTTACTGAAAGAATCAAATTGGTCGTGTAAAGTCCTGGAGTTAGTACTAGCTGCTGCTTGTTCAAAAGCCTTCCCAAAGAAACTAAAAAAGGAGTGAAAAATTTTATTTGATAAGAAACAGAGATGACATTAAGAATTCTTTGTCAAAATAAAAACAATGATAAGAAAGATTACTTTTTCCTGTCTTCATCTAGCTGTAAAGGAGGGATGCCTATGACTAATGTTGTTCCTTGTTCCAAATCCAGAGGAGCTCCAAGTACTAATGGAAGGGAACGAGCTTTTTTGTTGCGAGTCTGTGAAAAAAAAATATATCAAACTTAGCAATTCTTTAATCTGGTTAGTTAAAATAATTAGTACAGAATGATATAAACTAAAACTTATATTTCATCAGAATAACTAATATAGTAAAGGAATATGCCTTTATTGAATCGTGATTGTGTACATTAAAATTTGTGATTACGAATTTTCAGTTCATTATACTAATACATGTAAAAAAATATTTATGATACAGAATTTTAATAACTTATATTAGATCGACAAATAGAATGTTAGAAGAACTACAAATAGGACTAGAGCGACAAATGGAATGTTAGAAGGCTACAAATAGGACTAGAGTGACAAATAGAATGTTAGAAGGCTTCAAATAGGACTAAAATAGAGTAACAAATGGAATGTTGGAAGGCTACAAATAGGACTAGAGTGATAAATGGAATGTTAGAAGGCAACAAATAGGACTAGAGTGACAAATGGAATGTTAGAAGGCTACAAATAGGACCAGAGTGACAAATGGAATGTTAGAAGGCTACAAATACAACACCCCCCTCCTTCTCACTTACCACTGAACAATAGGCTTCCAGTGTAAACCTAGCTAGTCTCACAAGGCAGTTTGGTTTGGAAAAGAATTTCACATCCTGAGTGCCCTACAGTTTTAAAGAATGTGTTGATGAACTTTAAATGTTTAATAATATCTTATAATTTCTTAAATCAATTCCTCCACAAAAAATCAAAATGTTAAACTTCACTAAATTCTTAAATCTCTTTTGCAAAGCTCAAAAATTAATCATCCACTACCACTTTCTCATAATGACTATAAATGTTTTTCAATTTAAGGATTAAGGCATGCATGTGAATAGAAGAGTGTCCTTTGTATGTTAACACACACCTCCTGGATGAATGTATAGAGGAATGGGCCTGCAGAGATAACCTGGTGAATATCCAGGAAGGTTTGGACCTGAGCGACCACTGCCTGCAGCTGTTTCCTGGCTAGGTCTATTGCCTTCTCCAAGGACTCCACATTAGACCTATACAAAAGTATGACAGTTAACAATCGCAACAGTCTAAGAAATGTGAATATATATGTATAATTGATCTCAGTTTGAAAAACATTAGTGAATACCTGGCAAATTATAAAACATTCTTTTCTTTCTCGTCAAGTACAAAAAGATAATTTAATCATAATTGAATTTCTTGACTTGAACAAATAAGATAACATAACAAAGCAACAATGAATTGAACTGGCCTCTAACAACAATTCCAATACCCACCTTCATATGTTCAAATGGCTTTGAACAGTATTTCCATGTAGTTTGTACATGTAGTATAATATGAACAGGGACAGACATTAACTTTCAGATTCACTTGCCCTTCGGGCAAGTGATCTCAAACTTTGACTTGTCCGAATGCAAAACTTGGTTGCCCAAAATTAGGAACTTCAAAGAATTTCAGAAGAAAATTATTAATTACTGTAAAGTTATGATAAGTAAAAAGGTGACCAAATACACTACTGTCAATTTGGAAAGTTGAGCTACTTGAAAAAAATTTGATGCTGCATTTGTACATAAATGTATAGCACTGTACTTGTAAATTTAACCTGTTAACACACACTGCCATGCAGCAATATCCCTCCGTTTCCATTTAATAAAATTTATATTTTTAAAAATCATTTTCGGTAGGATCCTTCTGTGAATCGTGATTTTCAGAGATAACTGTGAAGCAAAGCTAAAAGAAGATATTTGATACGAAACATCTTCTTGATCAGGATACATCGTATTCCACTGTACTTATATATTATGTGCGTGAATAAATAATCTAATTTCTTAAAAGAAGTTAACAAAATTTTGTTAGACATAGAACATATTTACTATGAAAGAAAATAACGGACCCGATTATTAAATGAAATGTATAATCCAGAAACACTAGCAAGGTACTCTGAGTGCAAAAACATTTTCAGTCAGGTAAATGGCGGAAATCAAGTGTTCAATTTATTGTTTTATTTATAAATTAATGTAAACTAAGTAAATATATAATTTGTATGAGTAAAAATCACTTGCCCGATCGGACAAGTACATCAACAATTTCACTTGCCCGAAATGAGAATTTACTTGTCCCGGGCAATCGGACAACCGTTAATGTCAATCCCTGATGAACATCTAAAAATGTTAGTTTTATTAATATTAATACCTATTCAAAACATCCAGGGCTTTCAGAAAATTGTCTGTAGGACTGTTCCCTTTTTCCTGCAATCAAATAAAACTTGTCATGAACATAAACTGTTGAGTTGCCAGAGCACGTATATTCCTGTGACGGGTATAATAATGTCACTTCAAACTTATTTGTTGGGGGAGAGTCGGAGGACTAATATTGTTAATCTTCTAGTTTTATCCTCAGGAGTTCTTTGACTATCTTAATGAAACTTCACTACAATAATCACCAAGTATAGTTGCACACGAAACTTGTGAAACTTTTCTATGGCCGCCATTGCCATAGAAAAGGCAGAAGGTCAGTTTGTGGTGACAAAAGCTTGCAGTATGAAAGTTTCTAGCTTTTCATGTCATCATTATCACATACAATCAACTATACAGACTTTTTTAAAACCAGAATTATTGAAAATAAATGCACAACACTATGGGATTCTTGCAGTAGAAACACCTTCTATAGTATATGCATGTACAAACTACAGGCTAACTTACAATAGATTCCAATGTAGCAGAGCAGGCCAGTGTTACATCTGCTGCACACAGTTTGTTTTTAAATCCATACTGGGCATTATATGATGGAATGACAACATCATCTGCAACCAACCTGAAAATTACATGCAAGTCTTTGAAATTTAGCTCACTAAATGTCCATCCCTTTCTTCATGCCCAGCCTTCCTACTTTCAAAGTAAGTGTTCCTCCTTTGACTAGAGACACACATATAAAGTTAATCTACATTTACTTCTTCTAATTCTCCCAAGTTTTGTGATGAGAACGAAAGGGGAAAATATATAATGAAGTGAAACATTCCCTGTATATAGTAGGTTTTTTTCCCCTTCAAAACAGGAGAGTTCGACTAGCAGTTTATAATTACCCATATTTTTCCATGTTTTCCTGTATCATTGCTTTGATGTTTTTCTTCAGAGTGGAATCCATGGCATTGAATTTTTGTTTACATTGTGTCAGAGGTAATCTGCAACAATCATTTTTATGATCTTTTATCAGTTAATGGCTTTGAATTAAACAATAAATAATGCTACTTCATGGAAAAAAATGTTGATATCACATCTAATTATTCAAGAATAACAATTCTGCATTTCTTTTAGAAAATATCAGTGACCCTAAGAAAAGAGAGATAACTCTGGAAATCGGTAAAGCACTTTGATTTCTTCATCTTTTAATAACAATGATTTGTCTAAAATTCTATTCCACGTACCATACTAAAACTGCTTAAATTTTATTCTTACATTTTTATCTCCATTCTGTTAAAAAATTGCCACTATTAAGGTTTTGCCAAAGGTCAACATGTCCAAAAATTTATTTTTACAATAGCTCCAAAACAATGTGAGGTATAAAGTTAAAACTTTTACAGTTTATAAATATATCATTGATTAACAGATAGAAAGTATCACTTGAAATCAAATATTAAAAAAAATTTTTTATTTTTTTTGAGAAAAAAAAAAAAAAATTCAAAAATTTGCATATTTAAAAAAAATGCACCTGATTAATTCTGTCCTTTTAGTGAAAACCTTCAATGCAGAAATAATATATGTTTATCAATGAAAGGCAAGTTGGACGTGAATGGTCTCTGAAAGGCCGTTATTGAAAGCATGACATGTATAAAGAAAAGCACCCTATAAAATGCAATGTACTTTCGGTTTCAAATCTTAACATTTGGACAAAATAAACAGGGAAAACAACTTTCCAGAGGCTATCAAAGTCCAACTTGCCCTTCATTGATCAGCATATGTTGTTTCTGCAATGATGGCTTTCACTAAAAATACGGAATTAATTAGGTGTATTTTTAAAAAATATATGCAATTTTTTTTAAAGAATTTTTCTCGATAAATACTATTTTAAAGTATTTGTTATCAAGTGATACTTTGTATCTGTTAATCAATGATATATTTATAAACTGTAAAAGTTTTAACTTTATAAAGCACATAGTTTTGGAGCTATTGTAAAAATAAATTTTTGGACATGTTGTTAAAGAGAAACTTACAGTAATATAAGATGATCTTTGAAAAATATGCTGCAATTTATTTCCAGCATTTATGAAAATACATGTATGCTTCTTTTCTATCATGTTTGGCATTTATCAAATATTATTTTCCAGCAAAAAATTGAAACTTTTCTGTATTAAGATCTTTCAAAAATTAATCATTAATATCCCAAAAGAAGCTTCTTTCATTTTATAAAGAAAATTTGGGTAAAAACAAGCAACAGACTAAATCTTTGCTCAAGATGTGAAACAGAAAAATTACAAAAACAGTATAGAACAATACAATGCACTTTTTACAGGAGGGGAGTTGACTAGACTCTCTCAAGTATTGAATTCAGTGTTGTAAATGACATATAATGCAAGCATAGGGCTCTTCTAGGAAAATGTATACTGTAACTGCTGTTTGTACATGTACAGTGTATATATTATAATGTTCTAATTTTGAAAATGTTTTTCAAGATAAATGTGTAATATTTAGATCCTGCACACAATCTACCTTCACCTTCCCATGGTGAGAGCGGATTGACAAAAAGTTTTACCTGACTATGGTAGAGGTAACAATAAATTGCCAGAAAAGTACAAAAAAAATTATGCTGGTATGATATGTCAGAAATGCTGAGCATAATGCTGGAAACAAAAAGCAGCAGGAAGATTAAACAAATTTGAAGGCTGGCATTTATCAAGTCTAGTCAAACTTGGTACTTCACAAATTATTTCTTCATTTACTGTCCTTGCAGAAATCCTTCAACCTTACCCCATTTCTGCCAGATACTCATGCAGCCTTTTCTGTCCTTTGAGGGTCCAGATTTTGAATTTACAAGCAGTGCCAACAGAATGACAAATACTCTCAAATAATGACCAATGTCTGTAGAGAGTAAGCAACAGCTCATCCTCGTACGAGATCTTCAGACAGTTCACAGATATCAAGTTGTCATCTTCTTCTCCTCTGTAAAACATTACATATATCTCTAATTTATCTATGGTTCATGAAGCCATCTGTTTTAATACATTGTATAAAAATAATCTTTATCCTTTTTTTTTTAAATACACCAAATAAATATACTGAAATACATGTATTGAATTTATACAATATCTTTTTCTTCAAGCTCAAAGTATTAAAATAATACTTAGAGTAGGCCATAATGTTCATAAACCTTGATTACAATGAATTCAAACTTTAGGATGTTATACTAGTATATCAAGATCCCAACTCAGATATATCTCAAAAGTCAAGGTCACTGATCAAAAAATGTTATGCCATGACTAGTTACAGTTGGTGAAAGGGGAGATAATGTTGATCACTAAGTTTTCGTGACATCTTATTTTTGCAAGGTTGTTGTTTAGTATTTATAAGCGAAACAAAATTTTTCATGAATTTTGGCTATTGCTCTATATTATCTTTATAAATAGAATTATACCCGAATAGGAAATTTTTGAGAACAGATGGTCTCGCATAATTATGTGAAAATAAAGTTCATGAGAATATTTGTTTCTGGTCAGAAAACTACATCTTGATAATAGTGATTGTTATGTACAGAAAAACTCAATTGTTTAATCTTTTCTTGACAACATACCTGTGGTTATGTCTTGACACATGAGCCTGCAATGTGATGATGTCATTTATATACTTGTCCCTGGTTGTTCTGTAGTGAAGAAATTGGTCTGTCACACCCAGTATCGCTAACCTTCAAAATACAAGGCCATACATCACAAGCATACAAAGACAAAATATCTTAAAATTTCTATATCTTTTCGCCATGGTGAGTAAGCACAGAAACTATAGGCTCATAGAAAAAAGTGGCCGAAAATATAGGAAAATTATCAATAATTTCATGGGCACTATAGAAACCTATGAGGCAAGTACACACACCTTGTTCAGGTTGTTATGTGTATACATGTACTTAATATGACACAAAATTTTGTCAAATTTTTGCTTTATATCTTGAGCAACTAATAAAATGTTTACCATCTTTGGGTTCAGAGTGTTGTACAAAATCACTACATACCATTTTATTAGGAATATCATTTGAAAATGCACACTTCTGTGGGGTCTAGCAAATAGCATAAATTCCAGCTGTACTGATTATATTTATTTCATCTGTATTGATGATAATATTAACTTAAACTAATACTCAGAAGTCAAAGCAATAAATTATTGGCAGATATTTTTCCCCAAACCCTACTGTTCCTTTTCATCACTTAAAAAATCCCCCCCCCCAAGCACTTAAAAAAACCACATAAACAAGAGGCCCAAGGGCCTTGAATCGCTCTTCTGATAAACTGTACAACCTATCACTTCTATTTGAAGCCTCTAAGTATCCTGTATACACACATTTAGATAAAGCCTGAAATTCCAAAGGTAGGTCATCATGACCTTAATTTTAGATGAAACACTCTAAGAACCTAAGATGATTCTAAGCCAATTATTATCTGAGAGTAGGTCATGGTGACCTACTTATCACTTCCCTGAGGACCCAAGATGCATCAACTAAGTTTGATGATTCTAAGCCAATTAATACCTAAAATATTTTTAAAATTATAACCATAAAATTTCAAAAGTAGGTCACACAGTGACCTACTTTTCAGATGACATACTTTGAGGACCCAAGATGCATCGACTGATGAAGTTTGATGATTCTAAGCCAATAAGTACCTGATATATTTAAATAAAGCCAAAAAATTTCAAAAGTAGGTCACAGTGACCTACATTTCAGTCAACTTACTCCGAAGACCCAAGATGCATCAACTGGCAAAGTTTGATGATTCTAAGCCAATTAGTACCCGAAATATTTCATTATAGCCATATAAATTGAAAAGTAGGTCACGGTGACCTACTTTTCAGTAGAAGTACTCCGAGGACCCAAGATGCTTCAACTGACAAAGTTTGATGATTCTAAGTCAAATAGTAACCTGAAAATATTAAATACAGCCATAAAATTTCAAAAGTAGGTCACAATGACCTACTTTCCAGTTGTCATACTCCAAGGACCCGAGATGCATCAACTGATAAAGTTTGATGATTCTAAGCCAATTTGTACTTGAAATATTTAATTAAAGCCATAAATTTTCAAAAGTAGGTCACGGTGACCTACTTTTCAGTCGACCTACTCCGAGGACCCAAGATGCATCAACTGACAAAGTTTGATGATTCTAAGCCAATTAATACCCGAAATATTTAATTATAGTCATATAAATTGAAAAGTAGGTCACGGTGACCTACTTTTCAGTCGATTTACTCCGAGGACCCAAGATACATCAACTGACAAATTTTGATGATTCTAAGCAAAATAGTACCTGAAAAAATATTAAATACAGCCATAAATTTCAGAAGTAGGTCAAGGTGACCTACTTTTCAGTTGTCATACTCCAAGGACCCAAGATGCATCAACTGACAAAGTTTGATGATTCTAAGCCTCTTAATACCTGAAAATATTTAATTAAAGCCATAAATTTTCAAAAGAAGGTCACAGTGTCCTACTTTTTAGTCGACTTACTCCAAAGACCCAAAATGCATCAACTGACAAAGTTTGATGATTCTAAGCCAATTAGTACCCGAAATATTTAATTACAGTCATATAAATTGAAAAGTAGGTCACGGTGACCTACTTTTCAGTCGATTTACTCCGAGGACCTAAGATACACCAGATAAATTTTGATGATTCTAAGCCAAATAGTATCCTAAATATATGAATATAGCCATAAAATTTCAAAAGTAGGTCAGGGTGACCTACTTTTTAGTTGAAGTTTTTCGAGGACCCAAGATGCATCAATTTACAAAGTTTTAAGATCATAGGCCTTAAAATTTTCAAATTATGCCTCTAAAACGCTTTGAATTCGAATGCCTGCAAAGTTCAAAAAGTAGGTCAGTCTGACCTACTTTTTAATTAATATGTTTTATGGCCCCAAGATGCATCATCTTACAAGATTTAATGATTCTAAACCTCTCAGTATTCAAATTAATGACCTTAGTTGTTTTGAAAAAGATTAGCCATAAAATTCAAAAAGTAGGTCAAGGTGACCTACTTTTTAGTTTTGACATACTCCGAGGACCCAAGATGCATCAACTGACAAAGTTTGATGATCATAGGCCTTAAATTGTTCAAAATATGCCTCTTAATCAGTTTGAAAAAGAATGGTTGCAAAATTTAATAAGTAAGTCAACATGACCTACTTTTGAGTCAACATGATATGAGGTCCTTATATGCATCAACTGACAAGATTTGATGATCCTAGTCCTTATAGTAAGCAAAATATCAACATTTTAATAAAATGTAATTTTTGGTCTACTTTGAAGTGACCTTGAGACCACACCCTTTGCCCCAGGGTGATGCCTTGAACAATTTTTAATCTACAACATATCCTCATCCTTTTGTGCAAGTTTGGTGATAATCTGCCCACTGGTTCTAGCAACCAGTTCTTTTGTTTCTATTTTCCTAATTATCTCCCCTTGTTTAAGGGTCACAACCCTAGTTTTAGTATAAATGGGAGACCTTGGGCCAAGGATACCCTGTGACAAATTTGATAATAATTGGCCAAGGGGTTCTTGAGTTATGGCCCATATTCTAAAAAGTTTACGCACACCGCAGAAATGGCCATAGCATTAGCTCTTTGAGCCTTTGGCTCAGAAGAGCTAAAAACATAACCCCTCACCCACTTTTAAAAAAAAATCAAACAAAAAAAAAACACGCATAAAAAAACATAACAAAAATATTTCTAATACTTTTAGGTTGCTAAAAACTTTACATTAAAAATTTACTGGCTCAAAATAATTCAGCAGTTTCTGAGTACATGTAATTCTAAATCCCCTACCATAACAAGTCATTGGTGTCTTTAGACATCTTCCATGCCAGCTCAAACATGATAAAAGCTGCCTAAATATAAAAAAAAAAAAAATTGGTTGAAATCAAATATGAAGCATAATGGCTGATTTTTCTAATTACTGATTTCTGCAACACAGATAAATGTAATACTTACTGATGTGCCAAAAGTTGAGAATTGTGTGTATTCAAATAAAATCTTTGTTCTGAAACAGAGATATTTTTTATTTTAAAACTACTTGATTCATGTAAAATTTAAACCTGCCATCTTGTCAAACATCAAACATGAATATCACTGAAGTAGTAATTAATATGTTCACAAGTCGAAATGTGGACAGAGTACCTATTTTCTTCCCAGAGCCGCCTTTCTCTGCGCTTCTCAATGGAAGCGTCATCGAATCTCCGTCTTTTTCCTGACCTCTCTGAGTCATCACTGTCATTGCCAGAGTCGTCATCTGACTGGAAAAAAATAACACCTGTAATTTTTTTTCTGAAGTTGGAGAACATTTACCCTGCACACAGAGCTTACCTTGCTAATTTCTGTCAACTGTTTTAATATTAGAATATTAGTGCTCACCGAGTTAGTGAATGCAATATATAGGAAAAGATGGACTTCATGTAATGAAATTCTAGAGGTTTTTTAAAGAGACACTGTGACGGACAAACAGGAAAATCGACAAAAGTAGAATTTTTGCAAGACACGTGCAAATTTTATTCAATTCTTGAAAGCATTAGGTTTCAGAACCAAAAAAATATAAGTAACTAGAAATATGTCCATAGGACATGAATGCCCCGCCTAGGGTATATTAGTAATGCAACATTTTAACACAAATTGAGAAAAGTGAGGTCAAGGTCAAAGGAAAGGTCAAGGTGAAAATATTGATGCAGTTGAATAGCTTACATTAGTATGTATCAGCATATGAAATTTGACACAAATTTAAGAAAAGTGAGGTCAAGGTCAAATGAAAGGTCAAGGTAAAAAAATGTTGATGCAGTTGCATAGCTCTCATCAATATGTATCAGCATATAAAGTTTGACACTCATTTAAGAAAAGTGAGGTCAAGGTCAAAGGAAAGGTCAAGGTCAAAAAATGTTGATGCAGTTGAGTAGCTCTCATCAGTATGTATCAACATATGAAGTTTGATAACACTATCTTGAATGGTATCTTTAAAACTGAGCTAAAAACTTATTTAAGAAAAGTGAGGTCAAGGGCAAAGGAAAGGTCAAGGTAAAAAATATTGATGCAGTTGAATAACTTACATCAGTATGTATCAACATATGAAGATTGATTACACTATCTTGAATGGTATCTTTAAAACTGAGCTAAACACTAATTTAAGAAAAGTGAGGTCAAGGTCAAAAGAAAGGTCAAGGTCAAAAAATGTTGATGCAGTTGAATAGATCTCATCAGTATGTATCAGCATATGAAGTTTGATAACACTATCTTGAATGGTATCTTTAAAACTGAGCTAAACACTAATTTAAGAAAAGTGAGGTCAAGGTCAAAGGAAAGGTCAAGGTCAAAATGTTGATGCAGTTGCATAGCTCTCATCAATATCTATCAGCATATGAAGTTTGATAAAAATATCTTGGATAGTTTCTTTGAAACTGAGCTTTGAACAGAGCTAAACGCAAAGTGTGACGGAAGGACAGACGGAAGGACAGAAGGACGGAAGACGGACATGACAAACACTATATGCCCCGGCCATATTCCTGGCGGGGCATAAAAATAATTTTAGTTTGCCCCAACACGAAAATATTGCTTCACTTCTTCCTCTTTAAGGTACGCATGCGCAGAAAAGTTGAAGAAGTTACCATGGTATCAATACCATAGATGTAAATGTCGGATGACTGAGAATTTTGATAAAATCTTCAAAAAAAGATGATCAGAACTTATTCCTCACTTTTGATTGCTCCAATTCAATGTTGTTTACAAGTTTCAAGCTAGAAATAAAAGACACATGACCTTGACCTTGACATTGACGATAACAACCACGCCATAGATACAACTTTTCTTTTTCTGGCACTTACATTTTGCAGTTTTTCTTGCTTTTACCGTGCAGTTGAGATCTCAAAACTTCGCCTTATTCATATTTCTCATAAATCTTTAGCTTTATGATATAATTTTCTTACAAGAAACACATGATATTGACTCACTCTGTAACTTAAAATGCACTTTTTCATGAACAAAGACTATATATATAAAGTATAAAAATAGGAATGATACTACATGTATATGCATACAATATCTCACAGTAACAAATGCTTCAAAACATTTCTACCTATAATATAAAACTCATCCAGTTCAAACATGGATATAGTGTTTTGGGGGATACAAGGTAAAATTCTTAACAAATTAATTCCTTGTAAAATTTTAAAGTTACTTAACAAACTCTGATATCATACAAATTTATGAAAAATAGTGAACTAACTCTGTGTCCAGTAGAGGTAAACTAGAAATATGTCCATAGGACATGAATGCCCTGCCGAGGGTATATTAGTAATGCAACATTTTAACACAAATTGAGAAAAGTGAGGTCAAGGTCAAAGGAAAGGTCAAGGCGAAAAAATATTGATGCAGTTGAATAGCTTACATCAGTATGTATCAGCATATGAAGTTTGACACTAATTTAAGAAAAGTGAGGTCAAAGGTCAAAGGAAAGGTCAAGGTCAAAAATTGTTGATGCAGTTGAAAAGGTTACATCAGTATGTATTAGCATATGAATTTGATAAAAATATTTTGAATGGTTTCTTTAAAACTGAGCTAAACACCAATTTAAGAAAAGTGAGGTCAAGGTCAAAGGAAAGGTCAAGGTCAAAAAACGTTGATGCAGTTGAATAGTTCTTGTCAGTATGTATCAGCATATTAAGTTTGAAACTAATTTAAGAAAAGTGAGGTCAAAGGATAAAGTGAGGTCAAAGGAAAGGTCAAGGTCAAAAAATGTTGATACTGTTGAATAGCTCTCATCAGTGTGTATCAGCATATGAAGTTTGTTAAAAATATCTTGAATTGTTTCATTAAAACTGAGCTAAACACTAATTTAAGAAAAGTGAGGTCAAGGTCAAGAGAAAGGTCAAGGTCAAAAAATGTTGATGCAGTTGAATAGCTTCATCAGTATGTATCAACATATGAAGATTGATTACACTATCTTGAATGGTATCTTTAAAACTGACCTAAACACTAATTTAAGAAAAGTGAGGTCAAGGTCAAAGGAAAGGTCAAGGTCAAAAAATGTTGATGCAGTTGCATAGCTCTCATCAATATCTATCAGCAAATGAAGTTTGATAAAAATATCTTGAATTGTTTCATTAAAATTGAGTTAAACACTAATTTAAGAAAAGTGAGGTCAAGGTCAAAAGAAAGGTCAAGGTCAAAAAATGCTGATGCAGTTGAATAGATTACATCAGTATGTATCAATATCTGAAGTTTGATTACACTATCTTGAATGGTATCTTTAAAACTGTGATAAACACTAATTTAAGAAAAGTGAGGTCAAGGTCAAAAGAAAGGTCAAGGTCAAAAAATGCTGATGCAGTTGAATAGCTTACATCAGTATGTATCAACATCTGAAGTTTGATTACACTATCTTGAATGGTATCTTTAAAACTGTGATAAACACTAATTTAAGAAAAGTGAGGTCAAGGTCAAGAGAAAGGTCAAGGTCAAAAAATGTTGATGCAGTTGAATAGCTTCATCAGTATGTATCAACATATGAAGATTGATTACACTATCTTGAATGGTATCTTTAAAACTGACCTAAACACTAATTTAAGAAAAATGAGGTCAAGGTCAAAGAAAACGTCAAGGTCAATAAATGTTGATGCAGTTGCATAGCTCTCATCAATATCTATCAGCATATGAAGTTTGATAAAAATATCTTGAATAGTTTCTTTGAAACTGAGCTTTGAACAGAGCTAAACGCAAAGTGTGATGGAAGGACGGAAGACGGACATGACAAGCACTATATGCCCCGGCCATATTCATGGCGGGGCATAAAAATAACGAAATTTACTTGTGGGGGGGGGGGGGGGGGGGAGGGGATATACAAAGATCCCACAATTTTTAATATTAAACTGACATTATTTTTCTCAAGTATTCATATTTGAAATTCATCAGAAAACTTCAAAACTCAAAGGTATTTTACTTTCAATACTTCCCTGAGCGTATTCAGTAGTCATACTTGGAAAAAAAAAAAACATCTATATTGCCAATTCGCTTTAAGGAATTTGTTATACAGATATAAAGTATTATGGACAGCACTCGTTCACTTATCCCGGACGAGTGAAAATGGACTGAGGACAAGTGGATGTCATAATCTGCCTGTCCCATATGATGAGTAAAATTTTTGGCATGAAAATTTTCTTCTGTTTATATTTGGTGATAATGTCAAGAAATGAAACAAAAAGCCTCCAGATTTGCCAAAACTTAGATCTGAATTAAAACAAATATCATATGCACAACATGCAGACACAGTTTGAGAAAAACTTAAAACAAACTTTAATTTTTTTTTTATTATTTGGCAAAAAGCAAGCTTTACAAAAGACAAGTAAAATCATCATGGGGATGTGTGGATACGATTTCAAACTCTTCCCCTGGGACGAGTGGTCACTGAATTTTTTTCTTACCCTGATGAATACATTGAAGTAAATTCTCAGGTCCAAAGGAGTTTAACTTTGTATCAGTTTGCTTCATTAAACATCGGTCTTTTTTCATTTACCTTTGTCATTAAATTTTAACAACTTAATTTACTTTCATAGCTATAAAACAGGACTCCCAGGAGTGGAGGATTATTTCTGGAGTTAAAATCCAAGCCTATGTAAACAGAATTAAATACACAACACTACATAAATGGACTATATTCGTATTCATTAAAAAATAATGACTGTACATTTAAACTTTTGATCTTAGTGTGTGTTACCTTATGATAACTATAGTGATAACAGTTATTGATAGTCAGCACATGTTATCTAGGGTACGATGGATATCTGCACACTGTTCCAATGTGTGAATTGTTAATACAAGGATAAAAAAATTGTTGTATAATACATATGCAATGCAAGAAAACTGTGAATTGGTGAAGCCATGCAGAGTTACATAGAGAATGTATAGGCATAACTATAAGGTAAGAGCCATCAGGTCCTTTTTAGCATCTGTATTATGTTCACACATTTAATGTTAGTTCATTTGATGTTTTAAGTCCAAAATTACATTCAAAAACATTCAGTGAATAATCAGTGAGTTTGAACAAGATGAATTCAATAGAATCACAGGAAATTGTTTTTCACTACAATGTTAATCTAATCCTAACATGCATTTTGTACAAGATGAACACCTTTCTGCATTATTTCTGACCAGATCAATGAAGACATGGAGTCTGCTAATGCAGATGAATTATGGGAGAAGTCACATGGACTTCCAGTTTGGAGGAAAATCTGTTTTGCAGTTGGTGGAATTCCAT